GGGCTGGCTGGCATGTGGTGCTGGGGGATTGAACCGTGGTCCCCGTGCTTTGCTAAGCTTGTTCTAAGTAGGTGCTTTAGACCACTGAGCCATCTCACCAGCCCCCTCTCATTACTTTTAATCTTTTCCCTGACAGGCCTGAGGGGAGGAGGGAAACCCAATTCAATGCATGACCAAAACCAATGCTAGTGATGATGCCACAGGCTTGTCACTTAGGCAGGCTCATGACCAAAACCAAGCTACTAGAGGGCTGGGCTCCTACCCAGAGGCCTCTGGGAGAGACCCTGCACACTTGTGAGGTTGGTGAGCACAGCTCCTGTGGCTGTGAGACTGAGGTACCCATTTGCTCATCAGCACCTGGAGTCATCATATGGCCCTGCGCCTTCACCATTAAAGCCAGCAAAGGCACATGGAGTCTCTCGCAGGCTGAGAACCTGATGTCCTCTTTGGTTACCAGCCAGGGAAAACTCTGGGGCTCTCGTGGTTTAATTGGAACACTGATCACCTCCTTCTCCCTGTCTTGTAACACTTCAGTGCCAGTCCTGGAGAAGCAGGAAGAGGGGGCCTGGGCTGTGCTGGACGCGCTGCACACCACAGGGCAGGCCAGGTTGGGAAGATGGGCTGGCGGGTAAGGGGTGGTGTTGGTGAAGTAAGTGCTGTTCAGATGTTCCAAGTCCCGGGCTGGGACAGGCAGGGAGCCAAGCTGTGGCTTACGAGTTGGCTTTATGAGCTCAGGTCCTGCTCAGTTTGGAGGTAACAGATGTATGGGAACATCAGTGAGCGTGGCTGATTGTGTGTGTGTGTGTTTGCGCACGTGTGTGTGTATTGTTGGGGATGGAACTCAGAGGCTTGGGCATGCTCATGAAGTACACTAACTGAGTTCTAGCCCTGTGTGATTTGTTATCTAGTAGCCTTGGTGTGGGATCCAAAACTTAATAATGACGAGTGGAAGGTGACTCCCCTCACCTTTTTGTTTGTAGAAGTCTTAAGGACACAGTGGTAGATCATTTGCCTTGTCTGTGGCAAGCCTGGAGTTCGAGCCGCAGAAAAAAGGAAAAAAAAGTTAAAGCAAAGTTAAGTCCTCAGAGTTCTACCCTGGACCATGTGTGTCTGGGAAGTCCTTTTCAAGACCTAGACCAGTAGCACTGGCAGATCAGTGGGATGGGTTCATTTGGTCCTGGACTGGCTGCTCTTTAAAAAGGAAGAGGAAGAAGTGGCAGTGTTTCTGGAACTCTGACTGAGACACACTGCCTTGGAGCAGGATCCAGCACACTGTAGCTCAGTGAGGACAGATACGCTGTTCTCCCGGCACCTGCCCACCCTGCCTCTGTAGCCAGAGTTCAGAGATGACTGCTTGAGCAGACTGGGCTTAGGCAGCAGGAGGGGAGTGGCCAAGCTAGCCCCACGTCCTTGGACCTCTTGAGTCACGGACTAAGAATTCTGGGACTCCAGCAGTGAGGTCTAGGCAAGCTGAGTATAGCGTAGCCATGTGAGGCTTCGTTGCTGTCAGTCACCTCTGTCCCCAGAGCAGTGAATTGTGTCAGGTCAGATAGCAGCACAGCTGTATGTGAGCTGTATGTGGGGACAGCCGGTTCACACTGCTGAGTCTTAAAGGGTCACGTGGACCTGTGCAGCAGCTGTGTGAAAAGCCCTCCCTGTCCATGTGATGAGTCCAAAAAACATCACCACACATTGGTGACAATGGTAGGCCTTTTGGAAGGACTTGGGTAAAGGAAGGAGTGTGAGTTTTCATGGCTAAAGTATTCTTAGCTTGAACCATATGCTTGGGTTCTTCAGAAATAAATGACTATGTTTGAAAAATAAATCACAAGCTTTTATTATCCTCAACAACACAGACAGCCAACCTGAAGCCAGGGGACGGAGCTACACTAGAACAGCGCACTCTAGACCAGGGCAGGCCCACATGGCCACCCAGAGTCCCTGGTCCTACTGCTCATGAAGGCCACAAAGAGGTCCCAGGTTCCTAGACATTAAGAGCTCTCCTGTGTGACATCAGGGAGGCCTGGCACGGGGAAACAGTGCAGCGTAACTCAGGAAGTGGTGAATATCTCCACAGACCTGATGTCCTCTCCTCACTGCTCTCCATAGGTCCCCTCCATTCAGGCCACAATGCTGGGTTTCTGAGGGGCTCAGCATGGTGTCTACCTTACTCCGAGTCCGAACTCTCATTTGACTTGGAAGATTTCTGCTTCCTTTTCTTCTTCTTTTTCTTTTCCTTCTTCCTTTTCTTGTGCTTCTCCTTCTTCTTCTTCCTCTTGTGCTTCTCTCTACACTCTGAGGACCCGGAGCTGCTCTCGTCGTCTTCTGAGGTGGAATCGGCCAGGAGCTGTTTCAGCTGCTGGATCCTAGGCGTGCAAGATCGGGCAAAGGACTCTTGAGTTTCCACTCAAGGCAGCTTCCTCAAATGAGTAAATGACTTAAAATAAGTATTAGGGTAGGGGGAGCTGTAATAACCTTGCTAAACACAATATTGATTTTCACCGTCCTAGTATCTCTCCATGTTTGTGGAGCCACTGAACTGTGACTTCTAACAGCCACATGCACTGAAGGTCCCCTACCACTCAATCTGCCAGTCATCACCCTCCCAAAGGGGTATGATTCCATGCAACCAACTGAAAACAAGCCCCTCTTTTGAGCACTCTATTTAATCATATCGAAGAATAAATTATAACAGAAAACACCTATAATCCCAGGTCCTAAGGCAGCTGAGACAGAAGGAAGACTTGAACCCATGAATTCCAGACCAGCCTGGATAACATAGCTCACTCTGAAAAAGATCAAGGCTGGGCATGTGGCTCTACGGTAGAGAAATTGCCTAACACATGAGGCCTTGGGTTTCATCCCTAGCATCACATACTAAAAAGTTCAGATCCTCAGTGATATTGGCAAAGATAAACCAAATCACATGAAAGAATAAACTGTACAATGCAAGCAGATGCCAAATAGCAGTGCCAATTGAATTCCAGTGGCACAAGTAGGCCTGGCCATGCCCACCACTGGACCCAGGCCCCATGGGAGCATACTGGCACGCCTGTCCCTGCTCTGGCTGCCCAACCCCACATTGGCCCGCTCAGCCTCACTTTCCCTGCCACTTACAGCTCAAGCCCGAGGTTCCAATATCACATGAGAACGGTTGTTCCAAGTCCTACTCAGTTTAAGACCAAGCAGATATCACCACTACCAGGACTCACCTCACGTCCTTCTCATGTCTCTTGTTCTCCCGAATGATGTCGTACATGGGATCTTCATGTGCCTTAAGGGTCAGAGAAAGGTAAGGTTTGGTTAGGCTTCATGGACACTAGTGAAGTAAGAAATATATGCCACCAAAATAAACAAGGTTTCTGGGGTTTTTTTGGTACTGGGGATCGAACTCAGGACCTGGCACTTGCCAGGCAGGCACTTTTGACGCTGAGATGCATCACCAGCCCTTAAACCAGGCTTTTAAATCATTTGATATAACTTTATACATAACATACTCAATTCATTTTTTAAAAGCCCCATCAATGTAAACTTACCAAAGATACAAAAGAAACTTTCCAATTAGATAAACACAGGGAATACCTAAATATTCTTGATGAGGAAATAACTGCATAATACAGTGGCATGGTCCCAGAATAAGAAAGTAGCCAAGTTGAGAATTACTGGGCAGATGACCAAGACACAATATTAAGTGAAGCAAATGCATTGCAATATGCTACAGAAGAATGACTCATCCATGTGTACATGTTGTAGACCCAAGTAAGTCAGGAAATACATATATAACACCCCTGACACCACTCTGCGGAGGGAGGCAGGAATGGAGTTGGTGGTAAAAATCCTAAGGCGAGGTTCCCATTTAATAAGGCAAATATGTTCTGTCTTTAATTAGTCTTTTTGAATCAAGGTTTCACCATGAAGTTCAGGCTGGCCTTGAACTCACTTTGCAGCCCAGGCTGGCCTCAAACTTGCAGTGATTCTCCTGTCTCTGCCTCCTTAGTGCTGGGATTACAGGTGTGCACTACTATGCTCAGCTTGGCAAATATATTCTTATATCATTTAGATGATTTAAAGTGGCTTTATATGTAGGGAAAATGCCACGCAAAGTATCTCAAGTGCCTTTTTAAAAAGCACATGTTTCTCATACAAATTACCAAAACACTAAAAAATTTTAAATCTTTTTCTATGAAGAGATAATTACTATTAACATTTATTATGGTAATGTATGCCATTTTGCCCTTTACAATTTTTTTTTTTTTTTTTTTGTGGAACCGGGGATTGAACTCAGGCCCTTGCGCTTGCCAGGGAAGCGCTTATTCTACTGAGCCATCTCCCCGGCCCTACAAGCATTTTTATACATTCTTCTAAAACATAATTGCTAATGTCTAAAAACTTACTACATTACAATGTTGTTATACTAAGATGCTGTTTCTTATATTACTTTAGTTTATTTTTTCTTAATCATATCAATATATAGTTGCTAATATTAGGCCTATATGGGACAGGGAGATAGCTCTGCAGGCTAAGCAACTGCCTGGCATGTGCAAGGACCCAGATTTGATCCCTGGTACCACATGCTGTGTTGGCCACTGAAACCAGGCATAGTACTGCAGGGCTATAATCCCTACTCTGGAGAGGCTGAGATAGCAGTCCTATAATCCCAGCTCTGCAGAGGCTGAGATAGCAGGATCACTCTAAGTCCAAACTACATAGTGAGACCCTGTATCAAATGAATGAATGAATGAACGAATGAATAAAAGATTTTTGAAAAAAAATTAGGCCTATAAGAGTTTTGTGATATAAGATAGCTCAGTGGCTTAAAAACCTGCCTGGCAAATACAAGGTCCTGAGTTTGATCCCTGGTACCAAAAAAAAATAAATAGTTTTGTAGGTACGGGCATTACATCCATATGGTAAATTTTTAGCAGTTGAACAACCAACTTAAAAAATATGTTAAGGTTTTTAAGATTTATCAACAAATTGTATTTCATATTATCTATACAAACTGACATCTTACCTTCATTCTCCTAGGTCCAGAATTGTTTTTCAAGTTGGGGACAGCATCTGCAGGCAGAGATGCTGTGGGATGTCCCCCTCCACACACAGTTGTCTGGAAGCTGACAAACTCTTTTTTTTTTTCTTTTTGCAGTACTGGGGATTGAACTCAGGACCCTGCACTTGCCAGGCAAGTGCTTATTCTACTGAGCTATCTCCCTGGCCCCATAATTGTTTTTCAAGTAAAACGAAAATGCAAAACTGGAGGCTGGGGAGATAGTTCAGTGGCATAAGTGCCTGCCTGGCAGGTACAAGGTTTTGAGTTCGATCCCCAGTTACTAACCACAACCACCACCACCCTGCCAGAAAGCCCCCACAAAACTTAGAAAGTCCTAAAAAGTCTGGAGGAGTCTTCAGGCTTGTGACATATGCTGAAAACCCAGTACAGTCACCAAGCAGCCCAGGCCACAGGACAGAAGCAGTCACTGAATGGTGAGGTGCCACCAGGACCCCTGGGAGTAGATTCTGTTAAAGTGAGAAAATGACATCTGCTCTACCATCATCCAGACAGGACACACACACACACACACACACACACACACACACACTTCTACCTGAAAATAGGAAGACAATCTTTAGATAAAACCTGAGAAATAAAAGTTCTGACTTTAATTATGAAACATGACTTTTTATTAAATGGGAGTTGAATAGATAATGTCTGCTTTAGGAAAAGTCACTGTTTCCAAGGCAGAAGCAAACAGTGTAATATGTAGTTTTTTGATAGAGTTAACTCACACAAATGCGTCACAGTGGAGAAGTCAATGTCACACACCCTGGCCAAGAGTCTTTGGGGAACAGGTATAGAGTGTAGGGCGCCGGCCAACTCACCAGTGGTCACCATTGCTGAGAAATGTAAACTGACACTTCAGGTTTACTCACCACTCTGAACTGTTCCAACTTTTGGTTGCCTTTGATAAAGAAAGGGCATTCTTTGTCACCTGTTCGGTGACCATACCGTTTGCAACGCCAACCTAAAAACAAATAAAGAGAAATATACCTATTAAGAGCTTCACCAAAGAGGTCATTTCAGTAGATTAAAGTTTTTCTTCAGTAGCTTAAACTTTAAAAGCAAAGGCAACCAGTGGATGGATGGCTTTTGTAAGCATCCTTGACTACTGCAGTTTGAGAAATATTCCATCACCAAGTATTTGTGAAGCAATTCAGTCACTTAGACCACTGAACTATCTCCCCAGGCCTTTTGTAAAGCAACTCAATATATCACTAAAAGCAAATTAATTTTTACATATCTCAGTATATTTTGGAGAGTATTTTCCATTAATCAAGTGGCTCTGATTTTCACTTATAAATTTAGACACAAGAACAGATAGATTATTTCTCAGGTTGAATCAACTACTATACAGATCCCTTACCTTCAAGTAAATAAAGTTACTAATTCTCTTAAGATGTTAATGCTGTCAGAATGCTAATGTAAGTTTATGCAGAATAGGGAAACTTTTTGAAGAGGTTTATGAGAAATAACAAAGCCCTCACAAAGGAGTATGAGGAATACACAAGCACGTTTCAAGGCCACATGGAGAAATGACATCTTCAGTGAGTATCAGTGATTATGGACAACAGGCATTGAGCTCTGGGGAAAAGGAACTAGGAACACAGCCAACTTCTCTCACCCGTGTTCGTCACTCATTTCCATCTGGATGTGGGTCAGCACCCAAATAGGTTCTTACTGAGCTCGCTGTTTTCATACAGTCTCCTAATTTGCTCTACAGTCAGATGAACTGGGCAGATGAACACAGGTGGATGTGAAGCAAGTTAGGAGACTATATGAAAACAGCAAGCTCAGAAAGAACCTGTCTGGGTTCTTTGAGTACTGATCAACATCAGGAAGCAGGAAGCCAGACCCCAGGGACGATCGGCCAATTTTTTTTTTTTTAAATGTATTTAGTGGGCTGGGGAGGTGGCTCAGTAGGATAAGTGCTTGACTGACAAACTCAAGGATCTGAGTTCAATCCCTGGTTCTGCAAAAAAAAGAAAAAAAAAAATGAAGACAGATATAATGAAAACACAGAATCAAAAATTACACTATGTTAAATGTATTTAGTACAGGTCTACAGGGTCTCACTACATAGATCAGACTTGTAGTGATCCTCCTGTTTTCAGCCTCTTAAGTGCTGGGATTACAGGCATGCACCACCACAGCCAGTCTCATTTGCTGGCCCAGCAGGGTGGGGATCGAACCCTAGTCACTGTGTTCTGCCTAAGCAGGCACTTTAGTCCACTGAGCTATCTGGCTAGCCCAAGATCAGTCAGTTAGGTTTGTAATGGCAACCACAGAAAACTTGTATGATACTGAAAGAAACAACTTGGCAAGGCGGCACATGTCAGTAATCCCAGCTACTCAGGAGGCTGAGACAGGAAAAGTACAAGTTGAAGACCAGCCTGGGCAATTTAAAGGAATTCTATCTCAAAATTAAATTAAAAAATGGCTGGGGATAGATAGCGCTCGAATGCTAAAATGCTGGTCTAACATATGTGAAGTCCTGGGTTTAATCCCCAGTGACACACAAAAAAAGGGAGAATTTTCCCTATTTTTTATTGGAGCAGATGCAGGAATTATTGAAAAGGGAATTCTGAGGAAGAAGTGTCTGTCTCTGTGGGAAAGATGAGTGGATGTGAGAAGCCGTGGAACACCGGTGCTAAGATAAGCACTAGATACCTGAGATACTGTTTCTGCTTAAAATCAATGTCCGATTCCAGGGAATATGACTGGTGCAATCCCATGCATGGTCCACAGCAAAGGGACGGCTCAACAAGAGACTTAGTCATGCAGGCTCTTAGGCTACTCAGGAATAATGATAAATAATTTGGGTTTGAGAAGATGTACGAGGGGCCTCCTGAGAGTGCAGCTCAGTGGTTAAGTGCTTATCTGTGTGTGAGGCCCTGGGTTTGACTCCTTGGCACTGTAAAAAATAAAATAAAGAAAAAAGATGCACTGGCTGACAAGATCCTGAGTTCTACCCCCAGCACCACAAAAGATAAGTAAAGCTGCACTGGTGATTTGTAGACAAGTTAAAAGTTCTAGAATCAGTTTTCTAATTAATGCCCAAGTTCTAGAACTCAATGCAAGTGTGTGCGTGCGTACATTTTCTCATCTGAGAGGGGTCTGAGTTTAATCAGATTTATATTATGTGGAAGAAAAGAGCAGCAAAGGCCGCTCAGGATCCAAAAGCAAAAATATCCCACTTTGGAAACTACCACTTGTGACCACGTGGATACATTACTTGGGGTTCTCCAGAGCCTTAAAAGGAACAAGTCAGGGAGATGAAACATAAGCTCCATTAACTTCTTAATAAGAATACTTGTGAGGGCTGGGATGTCACTTACTAGGAGGGCATTTGCCCAGCATGTGCCAGGAGCTGGGTTCAACCCCAGCACTGCAGGAGAAATGTGAAATCTTTAGCAAAATACAAGTTACTATATCTCCATACGAAACAGCATGGAGGGCTGAACTGGGATCCTCACACTGAGGTGCACCCCTAGCTCCTTTTGTGGTTTTTTTGAAACAGGATCCTGCTAAGTTCTCAAGTAGGCTCGAGTTAAAATTACCATCTTTGTGCCTTGGCCTCTGGATTACAGGTAAAATTTTTTAAAAGAAAAAAATTACAGATCTCTAGGTGATAGTGGGAACTTTTCTGCTTTCATCTCCTTCCATAAAAGTGATGACGATTCAGGCTAGGGAGATAGCAGGTGGTCATACCTGCCTGGCAAGCACAAGGACCCGGGTTTGATCCCTGGTACCACATGCTGTGCCCACCCTAGAACAAACTCTGAGTGTACTGCCAGTCACCGAAAGTGGGTGTGTTGGTGCATGCCTGTAATCTCAGCACTGGGGAGGCTGGGGCAGGAGGATCACTACGGAGTCCAAACTGTGTAGTGAGACCCTGTACCAAACAGAGATAGATGGATAAATGATTTTTAAAAATGATGAAGACTCATCTAAAAAATGATATACCATAGTGAGGCATGGTGATGTACATCTATTACTCAGTTACTACGGAGGCGGAGGCAAGAGGATTCCAAGTTTGAAGCCAGACTGGGCAACTTAGTATGAGTCTGCTCTCAAAAAATAAAAAGGGCTGGGGTGCTGGGCATGGTAGTGGACGCCTGGGTTAGATGACCAATACTGTGAAAACTTTGTCCTCCTGCATGAGCCATCCAAACAGCTGGGATTCCAGGTGTGTACTATCACATCCAGCCTAAAGGCCACTCCCAGAGGAATCATCCTACCAGAAGAAGAGAATGCAGAGACAAAAGGTGTGGAGGGAACACTCAGACACAGGAAAACAGGAGGCAGGAAGGAGAACTGGCGGACGGTGTGTCTATCCTGTGAGGCTGCCATACTGAACGCTACCACTAATGGCTTAAGGATAGAAACCATTTCCAGCTATGGAGGTCAGATTTCTGAGATCAGAGCAAGGCAAGTCTGTGGCACTGGTGTGGAACGGCAGTTCTTTCCTGCTTGCAGATGACTGTCCTCTCCCTTTGTCTTCCCAGGGCAGAGAGGAAAAGAGAGCTCAAGACTGACAGAAGAAAAAGGGGGATAGAGACTGACAGGTTCTGGCTCTAGTATAATTTGTTAAATCATCATGGTGGTCACCTAATATGGCTAAAGCCCTTGAAACAAAAGCCCATCTTCCCCAAGACCACCTGCTCCCTTCTTTTCCAACTTAGCCCAGGGTACAATTTCCTTTCATTCTTCCTGCCACCTCAAGGAAGACCCCCAATCAGCTCCCTCAGGTATATCTAAACATCCTCAAACTTCACCCTTGACAAAAGGCCATAAAAGCCTCAGCCTCCCTTTGTTCCAATTGAGAGAATTCCTTATCTTCTGCACATTCTCTCCGTGTCCTCAAAGACAATAAAGCCCCTTTCCTTTTTCTTTCTGCCTGTTTCTCTGCTGCACCAGGCACCTGAAAAAACATGAAGCTTTCTAGTGACTTTTTTTAAAAAAAAGGTTACTAATCACATCATGATAGCCTCAATCTCATGACCTCACCCAACCCAATTCCTGTGCTTCAAGATATGAATTTGGGAGAGACAGGTGGGAGTAGATGGTAAAGGCAGGTCCCTGCACAGCGAACCAGACGATGAAACTTACAGAACACCTCAAGTGTCAGAATCAAAGGTCTTGGATTCAAGATTGAGAATAAATTGATGTTGATTTAAAAACTAATATATGGAAAAAAATAGCAAAACTAAACTAAAAAATACTGTAGCATTCATTTTGGGATGGGGACATTATGTAGGATAGAGGGAAAGTAATCTGTTTATTCTGACTTACCTCTGAATATAACACAACAAATACCAAATTAACCACTGGGACATAATTACTGGGAAAATGAGATTCAGTAAGGGTACTTGTCTAATGAGGGCAAATGCAACAGCCACATTCTCATCTTTCATTGCACAATCAAGAAGTAATACCTAGATGGCATGGTGGTGCGTAGTTACAGTGCAGATCTAAAATGTAACTCTTAAGTCTCCAAATTCAGAGATACGACTTTCCAAAGGTAACTGGATCATGAAGTGCTGTACTCATCAATGGATTCACCCATCAGTGAGTCTATCACTCAACGTGCTGTGAGGAGATGGGGCTGGCTTGGAGGTGGACCACGGGCAGGTGGCCTAGCAGGTGCACTCCTGTCACGGTTCCTCCCTTACTTACTCCGCTTGCTCCATACCATACAGTGGGCAGTTGTTCTGTTAGGCCTTACTGCCATGGTGTTTCTGCTGCAGTGCCAGCTAATTATGAGCTGAATCCACTGCAGCCGTGAAATAAATGACTAACAGGGCCAGGGAGATGGCTCATTAGAAAAAGCGCTTGCCTGGCAAGCACAAGGGCCTGAGTTCAATCCCTGGTTCTGCAAAAAACAAACAAACAAATAAAAGACTAACACAGACAGATACCATGTAATCTCAGCTATATGAGAAGTTGAGGCAAGAGGACTGCAAGTTGGTGAGTGCAATCTCTAGTACAGAGAAAGAAAGAGGGAGTGAGGAAGAGCAAGACATGAGAAAAAAAGAAGAAAACCAAGTCTAAACCTAAAACAACAATAACAACAAAAGCTTTTTCTTTTTTTGTTGAAATTAGGATCCTCTCACTAAGCCATATGCCCTTTCCCCATCCTCCTTTTTTTAAAATTTTGAGAAAGGATCACACTAAGTTGCTTAAGCAAGACTTGAACTTCTGATCCTCCTTTCTTTTTTTTTTTTTTTTTGAAATTATTATTATTATTATTTTTATATATTTTTTAATTGAGAAATAAATATGAACGAGACAGTTTCACAGCTGATTAATTGATCCTCCTGTCTTAGCCTCCCAAGTGGCTGTCCCACCATGCCTAGCTAGAAAGCTCCTTGTGTTTTTGACACTTTCACAATGAATTCCTAGAACCAGGCTTGGTTTTCTCATGGACAGATTTAGAAAACACATAACCACTATTTGCCTTGCTGACATTTTTCTCATTTTAGACAATCTTATAAAAACAAATCCGTCGAGACAGCCTGGGACCCACGACAGGCAGGGTTTAGTGCTTTCCCACTTACTTGTTAGCAGGAGCTGGGACAGCCTGGTTTTGCCAGAGGCTGTCTTGTAGGACAGTCTGTGACACATCAGACACTGTTCATTCCAACTCCTCACACCTGCCCAGAAGGCAGCTATACAGGACCCTACATGTGTGCAGACCAACCTATGGAAATGGCTTTGTTCTGGAGGACAGTTCTTGTGCTCCTGAGGGGCCTGGTGACATGAGAAAAAGTACCACTCACACTCTTGACAGAGGGGACCAATATGCCAGGCTGCCCTTCTGCACGCCTGAGTGTATTCCCATGAGTATGCTTTGTGGGGTACCCCGGGCAGCCTAGTTCCCAGGAAGGACCCAGGATGGGCACAACAAGCCAGGAACTGAAACTGTGCAGCACCTCCTCCTCTAGCCATGGACACCAGGCCTTGGCTGTGACACAGATGCATAGAGGTCACAGAAAGGAGCAAATGCGTCTGTACAGTGTGCACGTGACTAATGTGTAACAGGTGCTCCTGGAGCCCCACTGTACTCACACTGCATCACTTTGACCTCCTTTCCCAGTGGCATCCAGAGTCCTTTTGTGGGCGCGTGAGCCAGGAACTCCCGGGCGTGCTCATTGCCTGGCACGTCAGGAATGCAGTCTTCTGGCTTGCTCTCATCTTCCTGCACGGAGGTGGGAGCACGTCAGCAACCTGTGCTAAAGCTTGGGCTCGCTCCTTCCTGCCTGGAACCCACAGGCCTGGCCTGCTCCTGCTCATCCTCACTAGCCTCGTGAACCACAGAGAAAAGCAAGTCACACCTAACAGGAGAGATGAGGAGGCAGGTAGGAAAGGGCTACACCAGAAACAGATACTGGTAGAGGAAAGCTCCTGGTGAAGCCCTGCCTGTCCTCCACATAACCCACGAAGGATCTGTGAGCTCCACATTCTCACTCCTAGAGCCATCTCAGCACTTTGGGAGGCCAAGGCAGGAAGATTGCAAGTTTGAGGCTAGCCAAAAATAACTTAGATCTTGCCTCAAAAAATAAAAAGTAGAGAAGGGCTGGGGATAAAAGTTCAGTGTAAAGGCCCTGGGCTCAATCTCCATTACTACAAGAAAAAAAACAACAACAACAAAAAAAAAAAAACAATCAAGATCAAAAAAGGTTCCCAACCTGCAAATTGTGGAGTGTGCCCAGGTATAGGAACTAACACACCCAGGTTTCTAGAACAATGGAGGGTGCAAGTTATGTCACAACTGCTCGCTATGCTGAAGGCCACAGCCATGCAGTGACCAGTAAGTAACTACACTTAAAACTGAGCTGCTTTTATTCTTCCTTTCTGATTTTTAAAAAATGTTCCTGTGAGTATTAAATCTATACTAGAGGAGCTGGGTATGGTAGTACACACCTATAATCCCCCAAATTCAAAAGACTAAGGCAGAAGGATGGCCATGAGAGTCAGGCCAGCTGTGGCTACATACGTAATTCTTTTATTTGTCTTTCTGAGACCAGGTCTTGCTATCCAGCTCAGGCTGGCCTTGAGCTCACTTTGTAGCACAGGATGCTCTTGAACTTGCAACCATTCTCCTGAGGGCTGGGATTACAGGTGTGCTCTACCGCACATAGCCTTATGTAGTTAATTCAAGGCCAGCCTGAACCACATAGCAAGACCCTGTCTCAAAACAAAGAATAAATAATTTATACTAAAAATAATGATTTTTAGAAGTGTTTTTTTTTTTTTAAATTGCAAGGTACCTATAAGATGAGACAGATTTCTTGGCTTTTGCCTGTGGCTGTTGATCCTCCCATGCAGCAGTCCCCGACGGCACCTGGCAAGGGTTACTACTGCCCAGAGGCTGCAGTGGTATCTAGGCTTCCTCAGGGGGCACTGTCTGAGCTAAGGACCATAGAGACCCCAACACAGTAGCCTGAGAAGCTGGGGGAGCAGACAAGGAAAGTGGTGTGGCACTCAGGACTGCAGGTTGGCACAGCACAGCCCTCAGCGGTGCCTGTCTGGTGGCTGCGGGGCAGAAGCAGGGGGCTCAGGACGGCAGGTTCACAGGCTGTGCACCCATCTCCCAGAGCAAGTTACTGCGTCTGCAGCACATGGAGCAGAACAACCAAGAGTGCAGGCATCGCACTGACCTTGATCAGCCCAGGAGGAGGCTTCTCATAACTGGAAAGCAAACACAAAACCAAAACTCCGTCAGCCACGTTGGCAGGAACATAGCACACTTCAAAGCATGAAAGGTAACTTCCAGGTCAGAATGCAAAGGCTGTTTTTAGTAAAACTTAAGGCCGTATTATAATCTGTTAACAAAACAGGCTGAGCATGCCGACCCTATGTAAACCAACTGGTACTATTACATCACAGCCTGCAGAGATCCAGAATTTAAATTCACTGCAAGAGTCAAGTATTGTCCCAAAATAGTGATTTTAATTTAGAAGGAGAGAAAGCAACAGAATGCAGAAGGTGATTCCAGGACCATGGTGGCTCTGTCTGGTGATCTACCTAGCTCCCTACCATGACTCTCCAGAAGTCAGGTGCCAGGGAAAGGGTGCTCTGTGTTCTACCACAGCTGGGGGAGCCAGGGCAGAGGCCCAGAGGTGGGCCTGCTCCTGCTCAGCCCTCCCCCCATGCCTTCTGCTATGTCTGGGTTCCAAATGACCCAAGGCTCATGCATTCAGAGTGGGTCTCTGGGAGGCAGCTGGATCAGGGGGCATCACACTCAGCAGTGGATGTGTCCACATGTAGTTCCAGCTGACTGTGCTAGAGGAGCAGAGGCCTGGCTGAAGGTGAGGAGCCCAGCTGACCTGGGTGTGCTCCTGTCCCCAGCTCCTCCCTCTCTGTCTCCCTCTCTGTTGTGCCATTTCATTAGGTCATAAGTCTCAGAACACAAGAGTGACTGCAATACTCTCCCTTGGCAGATGTATGTGCCCTGAGGATCCTATCCACAAGCTATAGCCCATTCCCTAAGACACTGTGGGAGTCGTAGGGCCCTGGCATCCAGAAGTCGCAATCCAGGCCTGCACTCTGGCCCACTTTCACTTTCTGTCACTCTGCTGAGACAGAAGAGGCTGCTAAGTTTAATTTGTCAAAAGTTTTAGTTTTAATACTTTCTTTGATTGAGTAGCAAACACCATGTAGGCCAATGATCACTTTCTGACTTAGTAGCCATGAGGGGTAAAGCACCTCATGCCAGAGCACAGGCCAAGGTAAGGCTGCTGTAGAGGTGATGGGCTTCTGCCAGTCACTGTGTGCCCGCCTCCACAGCAAGCCTTACCTGTATACAATCATTAATGTAGCTAGAATCCAAGAATGTTCTACTGTATGTTTGTCACTGGTGAGGACAACATAAATATTTTACAGAGCTTGAGTCCAGCTTTTTCTAAATTTTTTCCTACCACGATCACTGCTCATTTATTTGCATTAAGAGAGACTGGCTGTGGTGGTCCATACCTGTAATGCCAGCACCCAGGAGCTGAGGCAAGAAGACTGCCCCACATTCGAGGCCAGCCTGGGCTACACAGTGAGTTTAAGGTTGGCCTGGACTATGCAGTGAGACCCTAACCCAAAAATCAAAAAAGAAATGAGAGGTAAGAAGGGACATTAAGGAGGGATGAGGAGGGAAAGGGGAGGAGTGGAGAAGGGAAGGGAAGACAAAGAGGGGAAAGAGGGGCAACACCTCTAGAGAGCAAGGAGCTAAGGATGTTGCTCAGTGATAGGCCACTTAGGCCTTGGGTTCAACTGCTAGAACTCCCACAATGTGTACGTGCATGGCTCCTAAGTTTAGACAACACCCACCCAAAGGAAAACTGCTGTCGGGAGGAGAAACGGAAACTGTCTGGCCGTCTCTAAAGCAGGGGCTGAGCAGAAACTAAAACCACACCTGCGTGTTGATATCTGAACCACCATATGGTGGGTGCACAATTAATTTAAGGAGAGGAAAAACGTCCAGCCAAGGTACTGGAGGCACACACCAACAGATGTCAAACTGACAGAAACCAAATCTATAGTTTTTAATCAGATTTTCTTCTTGCGGCTCTTGAACACCAGCACCCCAAAACACAACTGCAGGACACCTGACCATCCCTGGTTGGCACATTGATTATCTGGAGCAAGCATTGTTGATAAATTGCAGATACACGAACAGGTCTGAACAGCTGGGTTTCGTCTAAAATGGACCACTACCTAGGACGTGCTCGGGAATGACGGCGCGAGCCCTCGTGCCACCGAGGTCCGGAGGCTCGGCGGGGACAACCCGCAGCGCCCAGCCAGAAACACCCACCCCGCCCCCGCCGTCCCCAGCCCCCCGCCCCCGTCAGTGACACAGACCGCCCCACGCGACGCCCCGCGTGCGACCTCCACGACTGGACCTCTGTGGTTGTCTCCCCGCCGCGAGCCCGCGAAGCCCCCCACCCGGCCGCGCGGCCACAGGCCCGGTGGCTCCCGTCCCGTAAGAGCGGCCGCGCTCACAAGTGCTCCAGGTGTCGCAGCTCCCGCAGCTGCTCCGCGTCCCGTCGCTTTCGCTTCTGCTCCCGGCGCCGCCGCAACTCGTGCTCGGGTTCCCGCGGCCGCCGCACGGCGCCCGCCCTCGCGCCGCCGGGCTCCGGCCGGGACGACATAGCAGACCCGCGCCGCGCCGCGGCCAAGATGGCCCCGCCTCCGCGCCGCGCGTCCTTTCCCGACCGCTGTCGCCCCCTGGCGGAACAAGGCGGAGCCGAGTAGGGATTGGCCGCGACCCTAGCAGGGGCGGGGCAGGGCGGGGCGGAAAGGGAGAGCTGACGAAACTTCCCTGGGACGGAGAAGGGCGGGGCCTGAGGGGCGGGGCCAGCGTGAAGCCTGGGCGGGATCTGAGCGACGCCCGAGGGGCTTCTTGGGGCCCTAAGTAGGGCGGGAGGGGGCGTGGCGCGCGCCAGGGAGTGCGCCGGGGCGGGGCGGGGCGGGGCGCGAGATTCGGGGCTGCCTGACTCTTTGGCCCCGGTCTCTTTACACAGATGAGACTCGTAGTGATCCTCTTTCTCACAGCCTCCCAAGTTTTGGGATTACGGACGCGCCGCACCACGCCCAGTCTCCATCGCCCTCTCAGCGCCCGGGGGGTGGGGCGGGGCCGGCATAGCTTGCGGGTATTTATTTATTTTTTTGGCGGAACCGGGGATTGAACGCAGGCTCTTGTGCTTGCCAGTGAAGTGCTTAGTCTGCTGAGCCGTTTCTCCGGCCCCGCGCTGTCCATTTTAGAAGTCAAGGCTCTAGGTGTAAATGCTCTAGTTTTCCTAAGCATGTGATTCAAAGTTCAAACATAGTGTATGCTGTCCTCACCAAGGTTTGGCTGCTGGAAGTGAGTTAAACCCTTAATAAAACTGATTTCATCGATTTTCCCCCCAGGGTTGGGCTGAAACCCAGGTCCTCACCGCCAGGTAGGCAACAGCTGTCGGACTGAGCTACTACCCTAATCGCAGAATTACTTCCATTTAAAAAGCGTAACTTCAGGGCTGGGGATGTAACTCAGTGGTAGGCAGCTTCGCTAGACCGCGCCAGGCCCTGGGAACAATCTCTAGGATCAAAATAATTAATAAAAAAAACCAATATATCCGCGGATGGTATCCTGATTTTATAGGCTCAGAGAAGAAAGTTACATGCCCAGTGACATAACTATTAAGGTGGGATACTGAAGTGTCAGGATGTGTGCAGAAAATGAAATGAAACTTTAACATAATGAAATAATCTAAAAAGGAAGTGAAAATAACAGCACAGAGACCCACTTGCCTTAAAAGTGGTATTCTCTGTGGCTAATACCTAAAATATATAAGGGGCTTTTTAATTTTATTTTTAAAATATTTTTAGGGAAGAGTTTACGGGGTGTTCAGGGTCTCACTACTAGATCGGACTCGTAGTGATCCTCTTGTTTACAGCCTCCCAAGAGCTGGGATTACAGGCGCCTGCCACCACGCCCAGTGTCAACTGCTTTCTCAGCAAGCCCCAGGGGTGGGGCTGGCATGGCAGGCCTGGGGAATCTAACTCCTGGCCCCTGCGCCTGCTTGCAGGCACTTTAATCCGCTGAGCTATTTGGCTGGCCCTTAAAGAGCTTTTTAAAATTTAGAATGGAAACTCTGAAGTGGATGTACAAAAGCCATGAAGAGATGTGACAAAAGTTCCATTTGGAAACAATACAAAGTTGGTGATCAGAACTTAGAAACCAGGGTGAGCATATTTGCACACACCTGCAATCCTAGTGCCTGGGAGGTTGAGACAAGAAGATCTCTGTGAGTTCGAAGCCATCCTAGGCTACATAGTGAGTCCAGAGCAGCCCGAACTATACAGGCCTGTAAATGGCCTGTAAAGACCTTCCCAGACATGGCTTGGCACCCTTGTTAAAATAACCTAGCCACATACATGATGGCTTATTTTGGGCTCTCTGTACTATTCTATTTGTCTGTATGGCTGTATGTTAGTGCCACACCATTTTGAAAATTATAGTTTTATAGTAAGTTTTAAATCAGAAAATGTAATGCTCCCACATTTGTTTTTTGGTCAAGATCTGTTTGGCTATTTGGAGTCTCTTCAATTCCTGTATGCATTTTAGGATGAGTTTTACATTTCTGCATTAAGTTGCATTGATATTTTGATATCAATTGCATTGACTGTATGGATCATTTCTGGTAGAATTGATGTCCTACCAATATTAAGCTTTTCAATCTATGAGCATGAGTTGCATTCCCTTAGTTTCCTTCCACAGTATTTTACGTGTTTCATTATACAAACCCACCTCCTTGGTTACAACTACTATATTCCTTACTATTTCTTTTCTTTTTATGCATTTGGTACAGGGTTTACAGGGACTCCAGGATTTCACTACATAGATCAGACATTCTCCTGTGTTCAGCTTCTGAAGGGCTGAGATTACAGGCATGCGCCACCAGTCTTAACCTCCATCTCAGCGCACCTGGGAGGGAAGAGCCAGCATGGCACGCAGGGGATCAAACCCCAGCCGCTGCGCTCTGCCCAAGCAGGCGCTTTAGTCCTCTGAGCTATCTGGCCAGCCATACTATTTCTTTTTGATATTATTATCAATGGAATTACTTTGACAATATTTCACATTCTTCATTGTTGGCGTATACAAACACAGCTGATTTATGTGGGTTTGTTTGTATCCTGAGATTTTTACCAAATTCATTGATTAGTTCTAACAGAGTGGCCCTAAGTTTTATTGAATTTGGGGTAGTGTCTTAGTTACTTTTCTCCTAGCTGAGACAAAATACCCAATGCCCAATATTAAAGGAGGAAAGGTTTATTTGGCTAACAGTTTGTACAGGCTCAGTTCATAATCAACTGGCTCCAACGAAGGGTGGCACATGGCAGAGGGGCAACCGCTCGAGTAAAGGAAGAGGCAACAAGAGAGAAGAAGGGTCAAGACTCTTTCTGTCCCTTATATTGTATATACCCCACCCTTAATCCCAGCATTGGGCCATGAATCAGTGACAAACTCTAGATTCAGCCACCTCTGAAAGGCTGCCCTGTGTGACTGCATGAGGCTTTGGGGGGACATCTAGACACCAGCCATAACAAGTGGGCCCCAGGTGACCTTCCTGCACAAGGTCCAGGGCTTCATGTGGCTTGAGCTTCCTCTCTGGTGCCAGGTGAAGGAGTGTGTGCTTTTTAATCAGCTCTCCCACCTGTGGGGCAGAGAGGACAGTGGAGGTAGAGCCTGAAGTTGTATATGGTTGAACAACAAAACTGGATTCAGCCGGGCACTGTGGCATGTGACTGTATTATGCACTCCTGATGATGCCAAGGCAGGAGGATTGCTTGGGTCCAAGGTTTTGGGACCAGCATGGGCAACAGAGACCCTGTTTCAATCTAATAATAGCAACAACAACAATAATAAGAGAAAGAATGATAGTAACAGAATCAGGACCACCTCAAGTCCAGTCCAGTTTTCTGATAGCGATGCAGTCAATGCAGTGGTGTCCCATTTACTAACCAATGAGACACAGGAATTCTTTCCCTGGTGGTCATAATTGTGAAATGTTATCTTTACCCATCACCCCTTAAGTGTGTGGCTTCAGAGCGGGTATAGTGCAGTTTGTCTCCAGAGGGCCAGGAGTGCACTGGGGATACACTGCCCTTGTGCTCAGGCGCCTCTTCCAGGTAAGGGTCTGGAAACACTGTGTACTCCATCCCAGTGTGCACCATGTTTGTGATCCCCTTAATCTCTTCTATTCTTCATCCCCCTTTTAAGGTATAAGTCATTCTTTTTTGTTCTAGGGCTCAAATTTGAGGCCTCACCTATGCTAAACAATACTGTATCATTGAGCTACACTGCCAGTTCTAGGTTTATTTTTCTCTTATTGTTTTGGTTTTTTGTTTTTTTTGGTGACAGGATCTCACTATGTTATTCAGGCTGACTTGGAACTCACTGTGTAGCTCACATTGGCCTGGAATTAGCATCAACCCTTCTGCCTCAGCCTCCTGAGTGCTGGGGTTGCAAGTGTGCACCACTGTGCCTGGCTCCAGATTTATTTTTTGATGCCAGCCAAGTGGCTTTGGCGTTGGTCCAATCATGGTGGGGCAGTTTAGCTGTTCCTTGACTGATAGAAGGACTTTCAGAATGAATAGTGGAAGTGTAAGCAAGACCACAGTTTTTTCTGCTGTACTGATCTCCTTTCATATTCTTTTGCTCTTAAGGTGTATTTTTGGAGTGGTTATTGCATCAGTGATCTTTTTCCCGCTGGGGAGGCAAGGAAAGGAAAACAGTGGGTAAAAGGGAAAGATGACATCCTACTGTATATTAAAGAATCATGGCCAGGTTAAAATTGGTTTGGTTGTTTTCTTGGTTTTTGTTGTTGTTTTTTGTTTGTTTCTGTTGTTGAATTGTTTGAGACCCTTCTATGTTCTAGAAATTAATCCCTTGTCGATGAAATATTTTGAAAATATGGTCTCTCATTCTGGAAGCTGGCTCTTAGTGGATTGCTTCTGTAGTCTTAGTTTCCTTCTTTTCAGTTTGATGGAATCCATGTGGAGTTCTGCTTTGTTTTCAGTGCTTTGGGGGCCTATCCTAGCCAAACAATCCTTGCCCAGATCGATGGTCCTGAAGGTTCCCATGTTTTCTTCCATTAGTTTTGTATCTTACACTTACACTTTTGATTCGATTTTAGTTGATATTTTACATATGACAAAAGATAGGAGTCTAGTTTCTTTCTCCTGGATATACATATCCGGTTTTTCAAGTACCATTTATTGAAGAGACTGTCCTTTATCTAAGATACGTTCTTGCTTCCTTTGGCAAAAATCAAGATAGCTGTAAGTATGTGCCTTCTTTCCTTCCTTTTTCCTCTCCCTTTCTTTTGTTCTTCCCTCTCACTTTTCTTTTTCTCTTTCTTCCCTTCCTTTCCCACCCACCTCCTTTCTTTCTCCCACTTCCCTTTCCTCTCCTCTCCTCCTCCCCCTCTTTTTTTTTTTTTTTTTTTCCTGGAGAGTGAACTCAGAGCCACACACATACATGCCAGCAAGCACTCTACCACTGACATATACCCTGACCCCCCTTTTCTTTTTCTTTTTTAGTTTTTCAGATCGAGTCTCTTTGTGGTCAGGCTAACCACAAAATCCTAGGTTCAGGCCAGGAAGATAGCTCAGCAGCTTAAGTTCCTGCCTGGGAAACGCAGGGTCCTGAGTTAGATCCCTGGAAAAAGTAACTAACTCACTCACTCTAGTCTCAAGGAATCCTCCGGTATCAGCTTCTGCAGCAGCTGCATGGGAATCAGGTCTGGCCACAGAAGTTTCTACTGCTTTTTGCTTTTACTAAAAGCAGAATCAGATGTGACTGTCTTCAGGACACAGAAAACAATGGGGAGCTGCGTTTTGTTTTTCTTTGTTGCTTTAGCTTAAAGCTATAAATTAACTTTTCTTATCTGTTTCATTCTTCTGTCTCTGGGCTGTAACTTAGGTTATCTCAGATTTCTTTCCACCAGAATAAGCTCTAATAGAAACAATAAACGTTTCTTTGTGTTGCCTGTAGTTTCTTGTTAAATCCCTAGAATCTAAAATAATCAGATCTATATTGTAATCATGTTTTTTATTTTTATTTTATAGGACACTGACACTTTATTAACTTACAGAAGGAATCCAAAGAATAAATCATGTATTTCATTTTTCCTTTAATACATTGTTGAATTCAATTTGTCCATTGAATTTATTATTAAATTCATTTATTAGTATTTTTGCTTTTGTGTTTATAAATTTGAATGCTGCTCCGTTTTCTCTACCTCCCTCGCTCTTTTTGCTGTCTTTGCTACATTTTGGTATCTGGATTATGTTTGTTCACAAAAATAAAAAGGGCTTTTGGGCTTCACTTTTATTATTACGAAGTTTTAACAAACGCTACAGCCTGTTTCGAAGCGAGGGTGCGTTTGGCTCCACGACACCCTGTGGCACTGGGTCTCAACCCCAGATCCTGCGCACACCGCGGGGGACGCTTGAGGTTCCGACGCTGAGTCGCTCACACCCTTGCGCTTGCGCCTTCCCTGGGGCTGCGGTCCGCAGCGTCCCTCACAGCGCTCTCCTTAGCTATTCAGAAACACCCTGGAGTCTCCTGCTGCGCAGAACCACCCCTGTAACTAAGTTAAAAAGAAAAACGGCTCTAAATCTCGGCCCTGCAGCCTCGCTGGAACTTCTCGCGGCTCCAAACCCAAGGTGGCCCAGAGGAGGGCGGCGTGGGGCGGGGCTTCGGACGGCGCCTTGAGGTGCCGCCCCTCCGCGGCCCCCTGCCCTCCCCTCCTTCCCTCCCCTCCTTCCCCCCGCCTCACCCCTCCCCTTTCCTCTCGCGGCCCCACCCCTCGTTCCCCCTCCCCGCGCGGGCGCACGCTGTCCACGTCCCCACCGCCGTCCCGGTGTTCCAGCTCCATGGCGCCCCCGGTCCTTCGCCGTCCGCCGCCGCCCCTGGTCCTGCTGCTGCTCTGGGTCACGGGGCAGGCGGCGCCCGTGGCTGGGCTGGGCCTGGACCCCGAGTCCGAGCTGCAGATCGAGCGGCGCTCCGTGCCCGCCGAGTGCCCGCGCGCCGTGCGCCCAGGCGACTTCGTGCGCTACCACTACGTGGGCACCCTGCGCGACGGTCGCCGCTTCGACGCCAGGTACAAGGGCACCCCCCGTCCTCCCACACCCGCACCCAGGACCACCCCTCCCCCTCGGGCTCGTTCCCGGAGATCCGGCGGCCTCGTTCTCTGGGCGGATTCCCCCCAGCATCCACACAGCGGGCGCTTACACCCCTGGTTAACGGGCCACGCTGGAGGCCGAGAGTCGCTGCCGGTGTCCGCTGGTCGCCGAGTGCCCCCCGGCCCTTGCCAAGATGCCGCCGACACTGGCCTAGCCTAGGACTGGGCGCACGTGCCCCGCGATGACTACCCCCCGCGGTTCTCCCTGCGATCCAGGGGGCCCCAGTGCTTTCCCAGGTCCCCGAAGTTGCAGCGTGGCCCTGCTCTCCCCAAGCTGCCCTTTAGGCTTCTGCAGTGCCCACTGGGCGCGTGCAAGCAGTATCGGGCCCTGTCTGCCTGCAAATTCCAGAGAGCCAGTGAATAAACAAAAGCTGTGCAGCGCTGAGAGTGGTGTGCATCAGGCAATAGCTTGGAAACACTCTTGCTACTTAATTATTGGTTCTGATCTGGGGATGAACCTAGTGCCTTGCACACTTGAGGTAGGTGCTGTGAACGGCACCCACCCTATCTGTGCTTACTAACGCTTCAGTTGCACCTTTTAAAGCTGCAGCTCTAAGATGTAATTCCTATACAGTTCACCCATGTACAGTGTTAAATTCAGTGGTTTCCATATATTCATACAAACATCGCAACTATCTAATTCTAGAACACTTATATCTCTCCGTCGGGAAAAGAAAGGCTGCATTCACAGCGGGCCCTTCCCATCTCCACCCACTTACCCTCCCTCCTTGGGAACCTCTGATCTATTCTGTTGACTCCACAGATTTGCCGTTCTGCACATTCTATATGCATTGAATCATGCAACTTGTGGCGCTTTCTGTCTATTTTTCACATAGTGTAATGTTTGCAAACTCTGTGGTGTTGGGGGGGGCGGTACTTCTGTTTCCTGGTTGTGTATATAACACTTGATTGTATGTCGTACCCTGTTTCCTCATCCATCCCATTCACCCACCATTTGGTTCACTGACACTTTTTGGCTGTTGTGAAGAGTGATCCTATGGATGCTCATTACAGGAGCTTGGGTGGGCACTTCTTTTGGGTGGATTTATACCTAGGAGTGGAGTGGAGGTTCATATGGAGTGCCAAACTGTTTTCCACCACCTTCACACTGCTTTTCATTCCCTCCAGAAGCGTTCTCCATTCTCTGTACTCTTGCGCACAGTAAGTAGTCTTTGTCCTTTTAATCAGGACGACCTGGTGAGCAGGGGGGCATTATCTCACTGTGATTTTGATCAATTCAACATTCTCCTAATGTTGAATTGTATCCATCACCTTTCCCTGTTCGTTGGCCATGTGTGTATCTTCCACGTATTCCATTTGCTACAGTACAGAGACTCTCAACCCACCTTTTCCCTCCTCTCCCCCTCCTTTCTCTCCTTGAGATAGGGGTCTTGTTATGTTGCCCAGGCTGACCTTCAGCTCACCGTCTTCCTGCCTCAGCCCTCTTCAAGCTGGCTGTGGAGAATTTTTGGTTGATGGTAATGAGTAATTCATGTTGCTCTGCCCGTTGGGAAGCACTGTGAGATAATAGAAATGCCCAAAGGAACTGTGGGCCTGCAGTGTGACCCCACTCTGGCCCACAGATGCTGGTGGAGTGGGGACAGTAACAAGAGTGGCACATGCAGACTGCGGGATTCCTACATAGTCTTAAAAGGATTCATTGAATCTCGAGACAGTGAGGAAAATGTCTCATTACAGATAAAAAAAAAAGTGAGGTTTGTGATTGTCAAATGGCATGCCCAGAACTCCTGACTACAGGGTGACAAGAGGACATGTTAACCCTAATGGGTTATGGCAATAACCTGTGGTCTATAGTTTCTTGATAGATATGGTAGATGAAAAGCATGAGCCCCTGAGAACACTCCTGTCTTGACTCTGTTGTGTGTGAAGCAGGGCAGGCATGTCAGAAGAGTCCTGGGACTCAGGGATAAAATCTGAGGACTAGTTACAGTTTTTCCAGGGAGGAGGAGCTGCAGGCAGAAGGGAGGCTGGGAAACTGAGTTGTCAGTGTGGGCTAACCTTGGAGGAGAGGTGAGAGATCAGGGGTGAAGGGACAGGTGGAAGGAAGCCAGAGAGGAAGGGTGAGCTAGTCTGCTTGGAATGGCTTCATCAACAAGTTTTAATAAATAGATGAGAACTATATGTATTCATGGGCACAGTGATTGTCAAGGGCCAGCTTTGGAGCCGAGGTGCTCCCTGGTGGAGGCTTTGTCTAAGGGATCAATGGCGAGCCATTGAAGGAGAGACTAACGGGTTCAGAGGCCCCTGCATTTGCAGGTAGGATGGAGTGGAGTCTGCAAGGGCACAAAGGCCTCACTCAGAGACCTCTTTTCCTTTGGGAATTTGTGACCTGTTAGGACTTGGCATTGAACCCCGGAGCAGATTGCAAGGAAGTTGGAATGGAGGATGTCACAGTTATTTTTTACTCCTTGCTGGGACAAAATACCTGACACCCAAAGTTAAGGAAGGAAAGGTTTGTTTAGCTCACAGTTTGCGGAGGTTTCAGTCTATACTTGGCTGGCTCTCTGGCACAGTGGTACATGGCAGAGGGCAGCAGTAAATGGCAGCAGAAAGCAGTGAAGAGCAAAATGGATGAGGAGCAAAGCTGCTTCTAACTAGCCTGTTTCCCCTCCTTGCAGGTAGGATGGAGTGGAGTCTGCCAAGCTACCCCCAAGCTACCCTGGGGCTGGGGTGTAGAGCTCACACAATGTCCATGCCCTCCTCATGCTCAGGATGAGGATGTTTACAAACTCAGGATCCTGGCTTTCTGCTGAGTCACTTAATTAAACTGCTAAACTTCACAAGTTGATACAATGTATCAACCAGTACAGAGGAATTTAAGGTTTGGCTACAGATCTGGGGACTTTGCCCAGAAGAACCCAGGGGTTTTGACTTTAACAATGCCACCCATGGGCCACAGAGGTCTTCATTCTCTGGAGCTTTTTCTCCAAGGCTTTGCCTGGCCCTGGGCAGAGGGTACCTTCTTGGCTATTCAGTGCCACTCACAAACCTCTCCCCTTGGCTGGCACTGACCAGGCATCATTTGATTTTGGTCTCTATGTGCTTGTTAAGAGTTGTGCAGGGCCACTGTCCTGGTGACTGGGTGGCAGCTGAAGTCCTCTCAGCCCACCTGGCTCTGCTGCTTAGGGATCAGCAGTTAACAGTGAGGAGAGACCATTGCCTTCTGGGGACAAAGTGAAACCTGTTCTACTGTTTCTATGCTGGTGGGTTAGTGTCCCATTGAGCCCCAGGGCCGGTGGGTTAGTGTTCCTTGAGGTCTGGGCATCAGGGAATAGGTTGGGTGCCCACCTGCTGCCTCTGCCTTGAGAGTGTATGGAGTCGAGGACGCTCGAACCCTTGTGTTCACACCTTGCCCAAATCAGAGCCACCTGCAGTGCTGTGCATACCCAGCTTTCCACTCAGCAGCTCTGAATGAGACCTGAGAAGTCACGTCTGTGCAAAGTTCCCAGTTGGTGTTGGTGGTCTGAGGAGTACCCGTTGGGGACCTTGGCTCTCAAAGAATATTAGGTTAGCAGGGTGTGCTAGTACATCTGTGTAACCCCATCTACTCAGGAGGCTGAGGCAAGAGGAATGCAAGTTTGAGGCCAGTCTGAGCAGTTTAGCAAGACTCTGTTTCAAAAAGAAAAAAAAAATCATAGACTAATTAGGAGAGGCCAACTCTATCTATGTATCTACGTATCTACGTATCTATGTATGTATCTAGCTACGTATCTTATCTATCTTTTTGAGATAGGGTCCTGCTATGCAGTTCAGGCTGACCTTGAGCTCACTTTGTAGCCCAGGCTTGTCTTGAACTTGGAATGATCCTCCTTCCTCAGTCTTCCGAGTGCCAGGATTACAGGCATGCACCACCACAAATGGCATTTAAATTCATTTATTTGCTCAATAAATATGTAGTGTGTGGCCACTCTTCTGAGTGCTGGAGCTGTAGCAGTGAGTAACACAGAAGCGCCTGCTGTGCAGAGCTCCCACTCTCCAGGGCTCAAGGGAGGCCGGATGCTCTGAACTCCAAGCTGTGCTGTGAGATAGAAGGTGGCGAGCGCTAAGGGGTTGGGGAGAAAGCCAGCGAGTGCTTCCTGAGCTCTGGGATGGGTTGGCAGGGATAGGCAGCCACCTTTGCCAGTTGTGTGGAGAGGAGGAACTTTTTGCAGAGGGAGGCCCTAGGGAAGGAAGGTTTGGGAGGAGCTGATGGGGGGATGGTCATCAACTTCTAGCATCAAAATGAATAAAAGTAATTATATGTGCAGACTTTTAAAGACTGGTTAGAAGCAATGACACACATTTGTAATCCCAGCAGTCAGGGAGCTGAGGCAGGAGGGTTGCTGTGAGTTTAAGGCCAGCCTGAACTACATAGCAAGACCTTACCTCAAAACAAACGAATGAACCAACAACTCCCCCCAAACCAAGGTTGGCTAATTCTGTAAAGCTTAAAATGGTAGTTGCCCAGCTGCTGATTGTGGGGTAGGGCTGAGTGGAGTCCCACTCCACATTCACCCTGGGGCACCCACTCTGTGACCCCAGCCACATCCCTGCTGCACCCCTAGACCTGTGTCTTCCCCACAGGCCAGCTCTGCACCTTTGCTCACTTCCCACCTCCCACAAGTTTGTTGTCGTCCCTGAGCTGTCTATTTGGGGCTGGCATAGCCTTGAAGGGCTTCATAGAGGAAGTGGGTTCACTTTGATCATTTTTTTCTGTTTGTTTTTTATGTGTCTGAAACAGGGTCCACAATGTAGTCCAGGCTGGCCTTGACCTTGACAGTCTTCCTGCCTCAGCCTCCAAAGATCTGGGTTTACAAGCCAGTCCCACTATCCCTGATTGTGCCGTTTGTTCTTCTAAAAATTCTTTCTTGCTATAGAGGCAGTTTACTCTTGGAAGTAGAGTCACAGTCTGTGCTTTAAGAAAAGAGCCACCTGGCTATTGATCATATGTAACATGTGGCGTGATAATGTGTCTCTGGAGACAGTTGATGGTGTAGTGACTTGGATATGGAAAGTTTTGCAAAGTGTCTCCTGCCTTAGTTGTCCTTGGGTGGATATTTTGTGCATGCGTGGTGTGTGTGTGTGTGTGTGTGTGTGTGTGTGTGTGTGTTGGGGGAGGATCCTGGGAACTGAACCTAGGACATTTGCACTGGGTCATGACCCCAGTTCTTTTCTTTTGTTTTTTTACTTTGAGATGGAATCTTGCTAAGTTGCTCAGTGAGGGTCCAAACTTGTGATCCTCTTTCCTCAGCCTCCCCAAGTGCCAAGATCACAGGTGTGCTGCTACACGGGGGCTCTTGGGTGGCTCCTTTTGAAAAGCATCATTGGAGGTTGTAGCGGGACCTCCTATCCTCCTGGGGTAGGCAGGAAAGGGTCTGCTGCAGGGTGTGAGCCAGTACAGAGGAAGGAGTGCAGAAAGCACGGGATGCTTTTCATTGCTTTCCTGAACCCTCTCTGCATCTGCTCTGCAGAACTCACTGTGAGAACCACACTCTGGGTTACATTAAGGACCTCACAGCGCTGTTATGTGGGGTCAGCAGAAGGTAGCAGCAGATGGGATGGGCGGGTCAGGTGGAGGTGTTTGTTCTCCTTGCTCCCTGCCTGCAGGGTCACTAAGGCTGTCCCTAACTAAACCAAAGCCTGTGTTCCTGCTGATAGCCCTGGCACTTCTCTGGCCCGAATGAGTAACAGTGCCCCCTACCCAGTCCCATCGGTACTGCACTGTGCCCTTTGCACACCTCTCTGATCGATGTCTTTGTCTTTCCTTTCAGCAATGTTCCTTCAGTTTGCAGTGCGTAAGTCTTTTGGCTACTTGTGTAAGCTTATTCCTAAGTAAATTGATGCATTTTTAAATAGGATTGTATTCTTAATTTCCTTTTCAAGTTATTCAGTGTTAGCATAGAAATGCAAACTTATCTCTGTGTTGGTTTTGTATCCTGTAACTTTGCCAAATTCATTCATCAGTCCTAATAGCTTTTTAAAGGATACATTGGGATTTTTTTTTTCTTGTGGAACTGGGGATTGAACTCAGGCCCTTGTGCTTGCCAGGCAAGTGCTTATTCTAGTGAACTATCTCCCTGGTCCCCATTGGGATTTTATACATTGGGATATCATTGATTTTATTTTTTATAATTTGTACTGTGAATTGGACTCAGGGTCCAATGAGCTATATTCCCAGCCCCCATATTATTTCATTGGTGAACAGCGAAATACTTTCTTCTGTCCCATTGGGATTCCTTGAATTTCATTTTCTTGCCTGATGTCTCTGGCTAGGAGTTCCAGGACTGCCCTGAATAGATGTGGAAAGGTGGGGCTTGGGCCCTATTACTGATCACAGGGGAAAGTTCTTTGGGTTTCACCATTGATGATGAGGTTGGCTGCATATGTTCCTTTATTAACTTTCCTGGAACCGCCCAGGTTGGGTGTGTCCTGTGTTTCGCCCAGGACCTGGGCTGGATGGCTGTCAAAGATATAAACAAGCCAGATGTGGGGACCAGCTGTGTAAGTGCTTAGTTAGTTCAGACTTTGCAAATATAATTTCCATGACCAGCTCTGGGCTTGATGCTGCCCAGGAATTGGTGCCAGTTGCCCTGATCAGCATAAATTTCCTATGAACAACTTTATTTTTCCATATGATAGTAGTTTTAAGCAATAGATAAGGCTGGATACTTCCATTTATAAGTGCAGGCATTTCCTTACAGAAAGGAAGTCTTTGCTTTTAACACTCTTCTGCTTTGTTGTTCAAGTGCTGAGGCAGTTATCAAGTGAGAAATTAATGCTGTCAGGCAGTAATGATTTTTACACACCATTTGGGAGGCCTTGTGCCAGGAGCTGAAGCATTTGACAGTCCTTGATGTTAGCTTTTTTCCCATCTGGCTGTGAGCTTGGGGGAAAATTTAATCCCCATCCACCTTGCAGTGTTGTATGAGGATTAAGTGAGATAATATCTGTGAAGAGCTAACCTTGCTCCCAGGCCTGACGCATACTAAATGTTCTGTAAATGATAGTTACCTTTAAGAGTTTTCATTAAATTTGAAGCAAAAAGGCTTTGACTCCACCTTTGCCATGTCTATTCAGGGAAGCCCTGGAACTCCTAGCCAGAGAAGGTAGGCAAGAAAGAAGTTCAAGGAATCCCAATGGGAGAGAAATAAATATCTCTGTTCAGAGATGAAATCATATGTATAAATTCCCAGTGCATCCTTAAAATTCAGTACTCCAGAAGCTCTGAAGAGTATGTTTTTAAAGTAACTGCCTAGCTGAGCATGGTGGTGCATGCCTGTAGTCGCATCACTCTAGGAGGCTGAGGCAGGAGGATCAAAAATTGGAGCCAGCCTCGGCAACTTAGTGACTTAGCAAGACCTTGTCTCAACACACACACACACACACACACACACACACACACACACACACACACACGAAAATGACCTGGGCATGTAGCTCAGTGATAAGGTCCTGGGCTCAGTCTCCAGCACCACTGATGAGGCGGATGCAGCTTTCTGTGTAGGCACATTGCTGTCTGCATGCACCCTGCACTCACAAGCCTTTGCAGCCCGGCTTTCTGCCCGTTGTTTTAACCCCAGGGAACTGTGGTGTCTGCGTGGCACAGAGTGGTCCAGTCAGAGGTGGAGGCTGGCGCTCTGAGGCATGGGCACAGAGCTAGCCATGTGCTCTTGTCTGCTGGCCTGGCTTGGACTTGGAATGCTGCTTTCTCTGTGGCCTTGTGGAAAGAAAGGCAGAATGGGCAGGAAAACCAACAGCAGTGCCTGAGGGCTGGATCTGAGGGCCTTTGGGCCAGGAGTGGACTGCAAGGCTCATCTAAGAAATATAGCATCAGAGTGGCTGTCCTGAAGAAGGGAGTCCCAGTGGCACCTTCGTTTTAGTGTCCAAGTAATTATAGGATCATTCTGAAGAGTGAGAGAGAATTTAAAGAGAAACAAATCCAGTCACCCAAACTCCTCTACCCACAGACTATACTGGTAATGTGTTTGCAACTGCCTTGTGGAGCTTTTCCTACATGTCTGTATATAGAAATTGAAAATGGGATTATTTTATCTGTGGCTTCTAACCTGCCCTTACACCTATTGTGTGTGTGTCCTTATATACCAATAAGGAGAAATCTGTTATGAAATGACAGAGCATTTGTATGTCTTTGCCTTCGATGCAATCAGGGTCATACCCTTCATTGTTGAATTTCTTAAGCACTGAGATTGAACCTAGGGAATGCTGAACTACTTCTTCAACCCTTTTATTATTATTAATTAGGTAATTTATTTAATGCATTTATTTTTTTTCAGACAAGATCTCACTATGTAGCTCAGGCTAGCATACTACAGTCTCCTAATGGGCAAACTTTTGTTGATTTCTAAATGCTTATTTGTGTATCTGCTTGTTTTTGTTTTGAGACAGCGTCTCCCTGCATAGTCTAGGTTGGCCTTCAACTTGAAATCCTCCTGTCCCAGTCTAGCACTACAGGTGTTCCACCAGACCCAGCTGCTTACTGAATTTGACATTGAACAAGCTGAGGACATAGGGCACAACCATGACATTATTTTCTGATGTGAAGACATCAGCTGTCAGCCTTCAAAACATATATGAATGATGGCAAGATTTCCTCAGTTAATTATTTATCATCAATATAAAAATGTTGGTATAAGCCTAAGGTTTCCAGTGTACTCTTCACCTTGTATAGCTCCTGAAATCCTGGATATAGCAGTTTGTATTCCTGTTTTTCAGTAGAGGAAGCTGAGAGAACTCCTTGCCTTTAAGAGAACTTTTTGCTTTATCATGCTGACCTGTGTTTGTCTCACCTGTATGATGTGTGTGTGTATGTGTGTGTGCATATGTGTTGAACTTGGGCCATTAATATTTCTCTATTGCTTTTAGGTACCAGACACATAGAAAATAGAAGACTCCATGGCAATTTCATAAAACTAACTTAACATCATTTTATTTCTTTCCATAGGAAGAGTAGAGCCAGTGCTAGTGGAACTGATTTTGCTAGCAGTGTTCAAGGGTATCTGAAAATCCCGACTGTGCCAGTACTGTCCAGGGCAGAGCTGTGCTGTACCAGGGGCTCCTTGGCAGCCGTCCCTGCTGTGCCCCGCATGAGTATATTTTCACAGATTCTTTCAATGAGGACAGAACTGTTTATACTTGTCTTTCCTCCATCCTCAGCTATGACAGAGACTCCACTTTTAATGTGTTTGTGGGGAAAGGACAGCTGATTGCAGGGATGGACCAGGCCCTGGTCGGGATGTGTGTAAACGAAAGGCGCTTTGTGACGATCCCCCCGAAACTTGCCTATGGGAGTGAAGGAGTTGGTAAGTTTTCACTGTGGGATACATCTGTAGAGAAGTAGGCCCTGTGCCAGCCACCAAAGTCATAAACCAGAAGAAGCAAAGGCAGTAAGCACGGTTAAAGTCTCCATCTTCAGTTTATCTCTTCTAAATGTGAGAGAAGGGGTCATTAACACATACGGTCAATGAGAGCCTTAAGGGGACAAGAATCTTGTTTCTTTCTTTTTTAATATCACTAAAGACAGGAGGAATGGGTCATTTTGGAATTGTGTGTCCACTGAATCTCTTCTGGTTTTTATTTGCCTTGACTGCATCCTGGGTATTTCATTATCTGGCTCAAAAGGCAGTAATTTCTCAGTGTGAATTCTTTTTGTTTTATAGCTGATGTGATTCCTCCGAACTCTGTGCTCCATTTCGATGTGCTTCTGGTGGATATTTGGAATTCTGAGGACCAGGTGCAGATTCATACTTACTTCAAGCCACCAAGTTGCCCTCGGACTGTCCAGGTGTCTGACTTCGTGAGGTACCACTACAACGGCACCTTCTTGGATGGCACACTCTTCGATTCCAGGTGGGTTCCACTGGTGGCCGTGTCCAAAAAAGGTACCTTAGCTCTTTCTTTTGTGCCTGCTTTTTGTGTTGTGAAGAAAACAGGAAAGGATGCTTGCCACTTGTAACCAGTATCAGACATTACAGAGAACTTTAGGATTAGTGTTTCACACATCTTGATGTCAGAGTCAACATTTAATACATGTTAGAAAAGTCTGGAAGCAAGGTTTGTCTTATTTAACAGTATTTTGAGACCTGACCATTCTGCAAAGGTTTGAGTGTTTGTTGCTTCATTCTTGTAGTTTTCCCATGGAGGGAGAAGGAAGAATGAAGCTGTGGGGAGGCTTGTGTGTGTGTGTGGTTGGTGGAATAGCTTGGCCTTTTTCCTTCAGTCACTGTAATGTAAATATGGGCTTTTTGCTTCTTCTTGGCCTTGAGGAATTCTTTGTGTGGGGAGTACAGATCTGTCTGGACCTGCCTTTCTTTAGGGCTGTTTGTAGGCTCCTTGTTTAGCAAGGATGCGGGTGACAAAATCCCTCCCCAGGAGGAGTTTGAAACACAGTGTAGAACTTCTCCCTTTCTCATTGGTTCTCAGTCACAATCGCATGAAAACCTATGACACCTACGTGGGAATTGGCTGGCTGATTCCTGGCATGGACAAAGGACTGCTGGGGATGTGTGTGGGAGAGAAGCGCATCATCACTGTACCGCCTTTCCTGGCCTATGGCGAAGATGGCGATGGTAAGCCCTGCCCCTTCTGGGATCCTCTTTTATCCTCCTCCCACCCCCATCTTTTTGCAGTGATTAACTCAGTTGTGACTACATGAAGCCCACCAGGTAGGCACCAAAGTGGTGCATACCTGTAATCACAGTACTCTCGGAGGCTGAGACAGGAGGTTCAAAGGCTTGAGCCCAGCTTAAGCAACTTAGTGAAACAAATGTCTGAAACATGAAAAAGGGCTGGGGGTGTAGCTCCATGTGAAGACCCTGGGTTCAGTTCCCTTATAGTGGAAAGAAATGAAGAGGAAGAAGGAAAGGGAGGAGAAGGAGAATGAGAAGAAATCGAATGTTTTGCAAGCTGTTTCTTGCTCTTGTAAGTACACAGAGCAGGAGAGAGGGAGTAGGTAGAATAGATGGAGTCAGTGTCTCCCTGTTCACTGCAACTTTTTCATGTCTTACGTGCTCAAGGTGCAGCACGTTTCTTAAAAGGAAGGTGGGTGGGTGGAATGCCCTACTAAAAGAAAAATGAAGCTCAAAAACCACTGCCATCAGTGCATCTTGCTTTCTTCCTCCCTGAGAAAGAAGTTATTGTTCTTTTGTGTGTTCACATGGTGCTGGGGTTTGAACCCGGGCCTCGTGGATGCTGAGCAAGTGCTTTACTATTTAGGTACAGCATCAGCTGCATGTGCAGGTTTCAGTGGGTGGATTGTATGGTACTTGAATTATATCTCAGTAAAGACGTATAGTATTGTGCAATTAGTACATGTTAATGCCAGAAAAAATTAAACCTGTTTAAGGACCTGTTAGTTATTTCAAAGCCTCTGTTTTCTAGCCTGGGAAGGACTTTCTTTTCAATGGCAAGAACACCTGCCTTGAATACTCAGGCTTCAGGATCAGACCTCAGTACCACAAAAAAGGGAGGGGAGAGATTACATTTTTCCTTGTCTATAGTTAAAAGATAAAGTATGCTCTTGTATCCAGGCTGCACTGGAGGCTGTGGTGGCTGCCTGCTTGCATGCATTCAGCACCTTCTGAGGGGAGGAGGTGCAGGCAGGGCTCTGCCCAGCTGGGAAGCTCGAGGTGCTCCTGCCACCAGGTCACTTCCCCCCAGGATTCTTGCACGGCACAACAAACTGCAAGGGGCAGGCACACTGAGGAGTTGGCTTGTTGCTCAGCTTGATGTTAGGCATCTTGCTGCCGTGGTTGTTTCTTGGTGGACACTGCTCCCTTCTGGAGGAACTAGTTCTCTGTGGGGTTATGGGAATGAATCCTGTTGCAGAAAGGTCCCGACTTGTGTGAGGAAGTGCTAGCCCCTGCCTCCTTGCACCCTGGCTTGGGGTTCCAGTTTCTCCATCCCTGTGAACTTCAGACAGTCTAAGGCAGTGGTGGCGAATCTATGACACCCGTGCCACAGCTGGCTGCTTGCTATCATTGAAAGCTTTAAAAGTTTTCCATCACTGGTCTACGGCTTCAGACACTGAGGGAGAAATGCAGCCGTGTGATGCTAACTTCTGAAGGCCTACCATTATAAATGCTTTCCTCAGGGCCAGTATGAGTCCAGCTCTGTCCTGCTGCCCTGTAGGGCTTGGTTCCAGGACCTCTTGTGGGTACCAGCATCCTTGACTGCTCAGTCCTTTGTATGAAACCAGAATGGTGCTCCTTCTGTGTACTTGAGGTGGCTTATGACATCTCATACAGTGTACATGCTGTGTGAAAATTCCTTTGCCATACTGTTTCAGAGAATAAACACAGGAGAAAAAGTCTATATAAGTTAGGTGGAAACATTTTATTTTCTATCCCAGGGATCAAAGCCAAGGGTGCTCTACCACTGACCTACATCCCCAACACTCTTTTATTTTTTGAGACAGGGTCTTCCTAACTTGCCCAAGGGGGACTTGAACTTTTAATTCTCCTGCCTCAGCCTCCCTCAGTTCTGGGATTATAGATATGCACCATCATGCTCAACTCAGACATGATTATTTTCTTGACTATTTTCTACCAGCAGTTGGTTGAATCCATGACTGTGGAGTTGTTGATAGGGAAGGCAGATTGTGCTCAGTACACCCTCACCCTAGGCACATGTCTTTCTTCTCTTAGTTTATGAAACTAGGGCCTTTATATTGAGCTACTTCCTCAACCTTTTAAAAGTACTGCATTTATTTTTGAGGCTGTCTCAGTGAGTTGCTAAATTGCCCAGGGTAAGCTGAAACTTGTGATTTTCCTGCCTTAGCCTCCCCAAGTACTGAGATTCTAAAGTGTGTGCTGCCCCACCGGCCTGCCAAGAGTGTGTGGAACCAGATCAGAGCTTTGGAATTGGCGTCCTTAGGTGTCTACACAAACAAAAACCTCTAGAAGAGTGTATTTGAGTTGCCTGTGGTTTCATAACCCCCTACCCTTGACTTCTGACGGTGGAAGAGCCCCGACTATCTGGTGGCTGCTTTGCCTGTGTAAGTCAGGCTTCACTGTGTCATGAACCTGCGGGTGGAGACTGGTGAGACCCTGCAGTGAAGATGGAGCTGCGCAAAGCCTCTGTGTCTGCAGTGTGAGAACTTCAAGGGATGAACATGACCAGCATGGGGTATAGTTATGGGGGTTCAGCCTTTCCTCGGTCTTGTGTCCTGATGGCGACCACATCCTCTGCTGCACCCAGGGAAGGACATCCCTGGGCAGGCTTCGCTGGTATTTGATGTGGTGCTGCTGGACCTCCATAACCCCAAGGACAGCATTTCCATTGAGAACCAAGAGGTGCCAGAGAACTGCGTGCGCAGGAGCCAGAGCGGGGACTTCCTCCGGTATCACTACAATGGCACTCTGCTGGACGGCACCCTTTTTGACTCCAGGTGAGTGGCCTCAACCATTTGCATGACTTCTCGGGTCGTAAGTCAGTCTGCACCGGTGAGCTGGGCAGGGTGTGCTGTGCACACTGGCCCCACATTCATCTCCAGGACCTGACCTTTCTGACTCCGAGGTTTTTCATGGGCTGACTGGACAGAGGGTTGGTGCAGAGATGCCTTCGGTAAAGTGAGGAGATTCTCCCCAGATGCCAACCCCGGTCACCTTTGCTCACTCAGGAGGGGCCGGCAGGAAGGACCAGGAGGCAGGGCCACTGTCTGGGTGCATTGGCTATGGCGGATCGCAGTCACCTTGGCCTTTCTCAGCTCCCAGTGCTTCCCTATATTCCTGCTGCAGCCGGGTTGAGTGGCTGGGCTCAGGAGACAGGCATGACAGTGCCCACAGGGGCTGCAAAGCCTCTTCCTGGGAGTCTCCTTCCTCAGGTCCCTTGTTTGTACAGCTGGGCCAGGTGTCAGGAGCATGTGGCAGAGTGTGGAATGTATTTCCTTGAAGCCTCTCCTTTGCCTTCCTATAAACAAGTAGTGTGGCACCCACCTGCCTACCTCTCTAGGTATCAGACTTCTAGTTTAGTCATCCTAAAGCCTCACAGAATGATTTTTTCTATGGCATTACTGTATTTTACTTCAATAATCTATTATCCTTAGTCCTAAGATCTTCTTTTACATTTCTCATTCACTTGCTTGTCAAATAGCTCAGTGGATTAAAGTGCTTGCAAGCAGGTGCGGGGGCCAGAGGTTCGATCCCCAGGCCTGCCATGCTGGCCCCGCCCCAGGGATGTGCTGAGACTACAATTGAGACTGGGCATGGTGGTGCATGCTTATAATCCCAGCCTCTTGGGAGGCTATAAACAGGCGGATATATAAATCCGATCTAGTAGTGAGACCCTGAGCACCCTGTAGACCCTTTCCTAAAGAACAAAAATACAAAAAAAAAAAAAAAAAGGTAACGGTCACATAATTCCAAATCAAAACACAGTAGGGTACAACACTGTGTGCCTGGCTTTGTCTGCTTTTCAAGTTCCTGCCCACACCACTGAGGTAATTAACCATTTTATTTGTTTCATTAGTTTCTTTTAAACAGGTGTGCTGGTACATGCCTATAATCCCAGCACTCAGGAGAGTGAGGCAGGAGGATTGTTGCAAATTTGAAACCAGACTGGGCTGTGAATATCAAGACCCTGCATATCAAGACCCTGTCTCAAACAAAAAAATCAATTCATTTCTTTTCATTCATCTATTGTGTAGACTTTTTTAAATGTAAATTTAATTTTCTCTCCTTTATAGTATATGGCACATAGAATATTACATATATAAAACATATATTCTATGGTGTATAGAATCTACAGTGTAGATTTGCCTTAGCTTAGGCAGGCAGTCTCTGCAGATTGTCATTTATTTTTTATTTATTTTATTTTATTTTTTATGTATTTGGTGCAGGGTCTCTGCACAGCTGGGACTCATAGTGATCCTCCTGTTTTCAGCCTCTCCAGGGCTGAGATTACAGGTGTGTGTGCCACCACACCTGGTTTTGGTGGCTGACTTAGTGCACTTGTGGGTGGGGTCAGGATAGTTGGTCATTTGTGTTGTTTCCTACCTTTTGAGATTTAGGTAGTAGATAGTGAAACATTGAAGTACACAACTGTTTCCTTGGGATAAATTTCTAGAGGAATCTTCAGGTCAGAAGTTATGTGATTTTTTAACAATTTCTGATTAATTGAAGTTACTGACTTAAAGTTATAATTTGAGGTTGTCCTTGGGGGAGGTTTTACTGCACCTCCTATGCAGGCTCAGTAACAATGTGCATCTTTTTTGGGAAGCTTTGCTGACTTGGAAACTACTGAAACTGATATCTTCTTTTGTGAATTATTGGTTTGTGTTCCATTCCCATTTAAAATTTTTTATTTTATTATTTAGCAGTAAACTAGTGCTTGAACCCAAGGCCTCATCGTATATGCTGGGCAAGTCCTTTAGACCACTTAGCTACATCTCCAGTCTTTTTGGATTTTTTTGAGATGGTGTCTCACTAAATTCCCCTCACTGACCTTGAACTTGTAATCTTCCTGCCTCCACCTTCGAGAGTGCTGGGATTACAGATGTGCACCAGCACCCCCACCCCTGTATGAGGTTTTATTATGTAGGCTTGGGGAGTAGGTCTTTCTTTTCACCAGACTTGAAGGAACCAGACTCAGCAGCTGGCACACAGCGTCTGTGTATTGAGCGGGGCAGAAGGGTTTCAGGGTTCTCGCCATAGGGAGCTCGGCGACCGGGTGCTGTGGCAGACACTCAGTCCTGCTGTGTCAGGACTGCAGGATCACACTGCTCCTGCTGTTATTCCGACAATCAGAGCACTCACCTCTGGAGCTGGCGGCATAGTGCAGAAGTAGAGCAAGCCCAGCATGCAGAGGCCCTGGGTTTAAGGCTCAGCATTAGAAAACTAAGAAAAGAAACTTGATGTTCCCAGACAGAGATTCTCCCCTTGAGAGGCAGGAGGCTGAGTGCAGGTTGCGTCCTCAGACCCAGTGTCCCCCATCCTGGGGTCTGGGGTCTTTTGGCATCCTGGTTCCCAATGCTATCCTGCTGCTGTGGTGCCCTCATGATCCCTTTGCCTTCTCCTGTCCTAGCTACTCTCGGAATCGCACCTTTGACACATACATCGGGCAGGGCTACGTGATTCCCGGCATGGACGAGGGGCTGCTGGGTGTATGCATCGGAGAGAGGCGGAGGATTGTGGTGCCTCCACACCTGGGGTACGGAGAGGAAGGGAGAGGTGAGTGTGCCTGGTTCTGCATTAATAGCAGCTTCCAGACAGGCAGCAGAGTGACCACAGCTCAGTCCAAGGCGTGACTGCCAGGTGGGTTTAGTTTCTAGAGTTCTGTTATTTTATGTCTCTTGTTCCCTCTAACCATTTTTATTTTCCTTTGGAAGAAAATTTTTTTGCAGTACTGAAGATTAAACCCAGGCCCTTGCACATGTTATGCATGTGCCCGACCACTGAGCTACAGTTTCCCCCCTGCTTTTCCATAAAATTTTGAGAAAGTCTTATTAAGTTGCCTAGGTTGGGTTCAAACTTGTGATCCTCCTGCCTCAGCCTCCCAAGTAACTGGGATTCTAGAAGGAGCTACCATACCTTTTGAAAAATTTTAGGCCTACCTCAGAGTTGCAAACTATATAGTGAATTCCATTCCATCTCACCAATTCTGAACATTTTGCTGAACCTTATGTTTAAATCTCTTTGCGCTAAACTTTGAAAGTAAGTAACTGTCTTTTTGGCTTTTGTTTTGTGTACCATGAGATTCACCCCTTTATGTATACGATCCAGTGACTTCTACTATGTTGAGTGAGTTATATACCGATCACCATAATTGGGTTTATCTTGGTTATTTTTTGTGTGTTGTTGCTGAGACAAAATACCCATCCCTTGGGGCAGGGGATATAACTTGGTCTAAGTGCCTGCATGGCAAGCACAAGGGCCCGGGTTTGATTCCTGGTACCACATGTCATGCCGGCCACTGAAACCGGATGTGGTGGTGCATGCCTATAATCCCAGCACTGGGGAGACTGAAAACAGGAGGATTACTAAAATTCTGAGCTGCATAGTGAGATCTTATACCAAATAAACAAATGAAAAATAAAAAAAATATATTTTGCTTTTAGAAAAAGAAAATGCAAATAAAACAGAAATCTCCTGTAATCTTACTATCCAGAATACATTTTTTTTTTTTTTTTTTTTTTTCCGGAACCAGGGATTGAACACAGGCCCTTGTGCTTGCCAGGGAAGCACTTATTCCACTGAGCCATCTCCCCGGCCCCAATAATACACATTGTTAACATGGTAGGCAGAAGATTGGCCTCCAAAGAGGTCCACGTTTGAATCCCAGAACTTGTCTTACTAAGAGGGACTTTATAGTTGCTAGTAAATTCAGAGTCTCGAAACAGGGACAATAATACTCTGTCCCATCCAGATGGCTTCCTTGTAAGAGGAAGGCAGGGGTGGGACTGGGGGACAGAAAAGGCCACAGGAAGTCAGGGGGGTCCAGAAGCCAGAAAAGGTGAAGAAGCAGGTGCGCCCCAAACCCACCAAGCAGAGCATGCTCTTGCCCAGACTTTGATGTACACTTGTGACTCTGGAGGCCTGAGAATTGGTTTGCATTGTTTTTTCTCCACTGTTGAGATAACTTTTCATAGCAAGAAAACTAATGCAACCAGCAAGGGTACGTTCTTCTGTATCTTTGAGTGTATGTACATGTTAAAATAGAAATACATGGTTACCTACACCAGTAAGGACTGGCAAAATGGGACCATGTCACTTTGGGATTAATTTGGGATATGGTCTCTATGTCACTATAATTTCTCTCACCACCTCATTTGTTGGGAAGGGCAGATATGTTGTGAACAACTTTCTTTTTTTTTGTTTTTTTAATGTATTTAGTACGGGGTCTGCCAGGTCTCACTACACAGATTGAATTTGTAGTGATCCTCTTATTTTCAGCCTCCCAAACGCTGGGATTATAGGTGTATGCCACCACACCCAGTCTTAATCCCAGTCTCAGCAGGCCCTGGGGACAGGGTCAGCATAGCACATGGGGATTGAATCCTGGTCCCTACGCCTGCGCAGATGCTTTAATGCACTGAGCTATCTGGCCAGCCCTTGTGAACAACTTTCTATGCCAACAAATACTTTCAGTGGCTGCCGAGTATTTTAGTTCTTTGTTGTTATTGTTGTCATATTTTTGCTTTTTTTTTATTTTTTAAAGACAATCTTGCTCTGTAGTTGAGGCTGGGCAGGGATTTACCCTAGAGGGATGCAAATATTCTTTTTTAGTATGTGTTTGCAGTACTCGCAGTTTATAGTCATTTTGGGAGTTGGAGCACATAACATTTTATAGCTTGTTTCTTTTTTTAATCTGATTCCTTCCTGTATCCCTCCTTCTTCTTCTAAATCTCCTTTTTCCATTTTCATCATTAGCTCGTGTTTATGACATACAGTGTTTATATTCATTGAGGTTACTAAGCTCCTGTACCTGGCACAGCTTTATTTTACTTATTTGCCCTTTTCCTCTCCCTCTGGCAATCCTCCTGCCTCGGCCTCCTCAGTTCTGGAATTACAGGTATGTGCCACCACAACCAGCTTCATATACCACTTTTTGCTGACTTGCTTATGAATGGTTGATGCAGTATTTGCTTTCCTTTTGTTTCCTTTTTGCTGGTGGAGTTCTTGCTGGTCTTGCTGGCTGTACTCCATTTCTCTTGATGTGTACTGTTTGGATCCTGGGAATTTTCCCTGTGGGGTTCATCCTAGAGGAACTAAGAAACATCAAGCTGGTAGGAAATGATTTATACTGGGGAGAAACTCTTCTTAATCCCTGATTTGAATTTCTGGTTTAAGCTGTAATGGATCAGCCTGAGTTGCACCCTGCTGGCTGTGCTTGCCCTCCTGTCCTCTAGAGTCTCAGCACAGCAGCCAGAAGCAGATCAGCAACTTCCTGCATCTGCCTCTTTCTTTATGACTGAGAGGACTGATCTTTCCTTACTCTGGAAAGAATGCACTGATGAAAACCATTTCCTGATGTTTTTTTCCTTTTGACTTTCCACCAAGTATGAGACAGAGTTCAGCTGCCTCCACAGGCAGCACTGGGAGGCGCAAAGGCCTGTGAGTTTCCTGAGTGTGGGATCTACCACGTAGTGGAGAAGGCACCTGGATGTGAGAGCCAGGCTCCCACGTGGGACCACGCCTGTCAGGTCCTCGGCAGCACCTGTGCCTCTGTGAGGCCCTTCGGACCCACACCAGTCAGGCTTCAGGACATAGATGTGTCTCGTTTTATCTTCTTCATCAGGGAGCAGAAGGCCAGGGACACGCAGCATGGCAGGAACGACGCCGGGCTCTGTGCAGTGGTCAGCATTTCTGTGTATCTTGCAAATGGTTCCTCTGCAGGAGGGTGGGAGAAGCCGCCTCTTTCTGTCGCAGGAACTTTCCAAATGCTTCTGTCATCTGTGTGTTGCTGAAGGGTTGTCCTGAAGCCCAGATTCCCTGAGGCAGGATGGTTCTGCCTGCAGGTTGCACAACCATTGCCTCCTTGGGTTGCTGTTGTCTGGCTCCCATATCAGCTTTTGAGGACTCAGATGAGAGAATGAGGAAAAGAGCCCCTGGGAATGTGCCCAGGCCCATGCCTGCCGGGCAGGGCTCCCACAGCACCTCCTTGTGTCCCAACAACAACGTCTGCTTCATTGTCCTTGGTGTTTAGGTGAAGTGATGAGGTCCATGGCACAAAGGTTGTTGGTGACAGGGCCAGAACAGGACCCAGGGTTCCGACCTCCTGTGTCACAGGCAGAGGGTGATGAGGAGGCAGTGACTCGTTGACAGTTGCGTGTAGGAAACAGAACTGAGTCAGAGGTCCCAGGGCTCTTCCAGAAAGCCCACAGCCTCCAGGAGCAGGTGGCACTGCCTCCTCTCCTCTTTGTCATCTATATCCCAACTTCTACCCTGGTGAAGAGCTCCCCTTCGGTGGAGGCTGGCATCAGGCCACAGCGAGGTGGCAGACTGTCTGTGCCAGTTTGCTGAGGGTGCATGCCCGTTCCACATGCAGCCCAGCGGTGGAACTGCAGCCATCCTGATGTCCACTCTGCAGCCCCAGAACTCCATGCACCACCAAGGGCTTGCTTGTGTGATTTTTGTTGGTTTGAGATGATGTTATGACTTTTTTCTTTTATTAGGTACAATTGAAATATACGGTGGATGTTTAAAAATTTAAATACATTAAATGCATCCCTCCTCACTTGGAACATATTAATCCAATCATTCTTGCCACTGTCTGCAGCAGTTCTGAAGTCCTCTTTCCTGAGGGTCTTCCACTATACTGACCTGGGATGCAGCATGTTTCCCTTTCATGTCATTTTGACCTTGGAGGAGCGCACAAGGTCTTGCAGTACGGGAGCTGGAGGAGAGACTGACTGAGGAGGCAGTGACTTGGGTACTGGATACTGCTACTGGGTGTGGGTACATTTTGGGAGATGGTGGTAGCAACCACATTGAATTGTGAGCTTTAAAACTCAAGTGGAGCCTTGGGAACAGGTCCCATGTCTGGCCCCATCCACTTCCAACAATCCTGTGCCTTGTGCCGACCACCCAAGCACATTCTCTTTCACTTTGGAGAGTTTAGTGAATAGCTCCTCTTGTTTCCCATGCCCGCTGCAGCAGCCAGTGGCCTGGGCTTTGTCCCTGGATTTGCCCGGCCTTTCTTGTCAGTGGCCTTGAGCAGCCCCTGCTGTGCATGGTCTGCCACTCCTGGTCTTCTGGGGAAGAGACTCAGGGCTCACACTCCTCCTCCCATAGTCCTGCTGGGTGGCTGCGCCCTCTGGTGCTCAGGTTTGCTTCTCCAGCATTGCCTGGAGCTTGGGCCAAGCTCCAAAATTGTGCCTTAGTTTCCTTGTCTGTAAATTGGGACTATCAGGTTATAAGAATTCATCGCCGAACGTGGTGGTACAGGCCTGTAATCCCAGCATCCTGTGAGTGGGCAACTGAATGGCTGAATAGCAAACCCTGTCTCAAAAATAAATAAATAAATAAATAAATAAATAAATAAATAAATAAAGGCAGACAGGCAGGCTAGGTTCAATTCTAGAACAACAAAAAAGTGCTGCAGGAGTTCACTGAAAGATTGTATGTGAAAACTGTTATAGCTCAAAAATCAGATGACAACGAGGCAAGTCCAAAAGTTAAAAGAAGCGCTTTATTTTAGCTGGTACCCAGTGGCGGTCTTTATGCAAGGTGCAAAGAGGCGCACCAGGCATTGACAAGGGGTCAGTATTTAAGCTTGAAAACCGCAAAAACAGGGAAGGGGTGGAGAGGAAGAAATGGCAGGGTCATTAGTTCATTAGGTGGTCCTTATTGGGTGGGGTGCTGAATTGGCAGTCATGAGTACATCGAGTGGGTGCATTGGGTGGGGGTGCTGAAATCACGCAGAGTTCTGCAGGACAAGATAAGGTTTGGGGAGCAAATATAAGACTTGAGTCACAGGGGTGAGGAATTGGAGGAATTGGGAAATTGGAGGAATTGGGAGGGGTGGGCGCATACAGAACAGGAACTCGGCGGGGTTAGAAGGGCAACAAAATGGAGTCAATTTTAACAGGGTATAACAAAAACCATGTTTGTTTGTTTTAAGACAAAGCCCCACGGTGCAGTGTAGGTTAGCCTTGAACTTGCAGAGATTCTCCTGCCTCCCCAGTGCTGGGACCACAGGCGTGTGCCACCATCTCAACAGAAAAATACTTCTATGAACTCTAAAACCTTACTCAGATGAGAGAAACCGTTTTCAAAGGTGGAGACGGGCCAGCCGAGCCGTGTGTGTGCTGGGCGCTGCGTGCATTCCTTTCTTCCTAACCAGCCCACCTCCCTCAGAGTGTGTGGGGCTCAGAACTTACTCTGTGACCCTAGATATGCCCATGCCTCAGTTTCTCTGCACAGCACCAGCTCCCAGGGTCCCATACTCTGCATCCCGTCTCTGTCTCTAGGGAACATACCGGGCTCGGCTGTGCTGGTGTTTGATGTGCATGTGATCGACTTCCACAACCCCTCGGATTCTGTCAGTGTCACCTCACACTACAGGCCACCTGACTGCTCGGTGCTGAGCAAGAAGGGTGACTTCCTCAAGTACCACTATAATGCGTCACTGCTGGATGGGACTCTGCTAGACTCCACGTAAGGCTGGGGGTCTCCCCTCTGGGCCTCCAGGACCAGGGCGGCCTCTCTGTTCCTGTATTGTGCTGTTCCCCTTGCACAACCCCAAACCATGACACTCAGGGACATCTGTTGGCCCCACACCTGGGCACTTACTGCCCCCATGCTACCACTCTGAGTCATACTGAGCTCTGCCAGTGGATTATCACTGGCCCTTTCCAGGGTCCCTGCGAGAGAGCTGATCTTATCTCCATTTATAAATGCATGAGGCCCTGGGTTCTGTCTCTAGCCCTGCCAAAAAGAAAAACACCAGAAAAGAAACTGAGAGACTTCACAGGGTCACACTGGGTGACAGACCCTGGATTCCAATTTGGGTATTGTACCAGTACTCCATGATGAGCAGAATCCTTACGTACTGCACCCAGGAATGGATACAAATAAAGAAATTCAGGTCTTGCTGAAACTAAAATCCAGGGTCTTAACTCTAATATGTAAAACAGAAAAATCCTCATGAAAATGCCTGGGCAAAAATCCCCACAAAAACACTTCCCATGGGATGATGGCTCTCGTGCCCCGTGTTTTCCCTTTTTGGCCACACTGAGAATGAACCTAGAGTCTTTCTAGATGCTAGCCAGAGTTGTGTCCTTGCTACTTCGAGTACCTGGGACACTCCTAAGGTGCTGGGACACTCCTAGGATGGCCTGTGCAGCCCAGGACCACCACTAAATTCGTAAAGTCCTCAGACCCTACCAGAGAGTCCCTTCTAGTGCCCCTCCACTTTGGGACAGTCCCTGGGAGTGACTGCCATCTAGCTGAGCCAGCTGTCTCTCTCTGAGGCTCTACTGCAGATGTGTCCTGGGGCAGCATCTCATCCGGGGGATGCCCCAGTGACTGTGACTAATGGCTCTCCAATTCGCTTTCAGGTGGAATTTAGGCAAAACTTACAACATTGTGTTGGGATTTGGACAAGTTGTGCTGGGGATGGACATGGGTCTCAGAGAGATGTGTGTGGGCGAGAAGCGGACGGTGATCATCCCACCCCACCTGGGCTACGGGGAGGCCGGTGTGGGTAAGTGGAAGCGCATGGGGTGGTGGGACACTTCCTTTTTACCTTTTTATAATTTTATTTTGAGAGTGGGACTTGGTAAGTTGGTAAATTGTCCAGGTTGGGTTCCGGCTTGGAAATCTTCCCGTGTCAGCCTTCCAGAGTGCTGGGATTGTAGGTGTGCACCACCATTCGTGGTTTGTGACACACTTACTATCTGAACTTTGTGTTCGGGGGTGCCATAGGAGAATTTCTGTGTGGGGTTTTGGATTGCATTTTTCTTTTTTAAGTTTTTGGTTAAAGACCCGAGGCACTCTGCAAGCCACTATTAAGAGTAGCGTCTACCCTCTAGAGAAGGCAGCTTTGGAAAGAAGCTGCCTTTCCACTCTGGAGGAGCCCTGCTGGGTCCAGCTCCAGCGCTGCCTCAGGCAGGGAGAAAGCGGCCACTGGAGCCTCTCCTTGCGCCTGACCTCCAAGCCAGCTAGGAAAATACCCTTTTGGCAGAGATTACTTTCACATTCTGGAAAAACTGGTTTCACTGTGTGGTACAGTGGTTGTGTGTGACTTTATGATCCCGTCTCCCAGTCTTTACGGTGCTCTCACTGTGGATACCCAGACCAAAGTCCCGACTGTGAAAGTGATTGGGTGCATCTCTCTCTGTCTCTCAGTCTCTGTCTCTGTCTGTCTGTCTGTCTGTCTGTCTGTCTGTCTGTCTGTGTCTGTCTGTCTGTCTGTCTCTCTCTCCCCCTCCTCTTTCTCTTTCCTTCTCTGTCTCCCCTTCCTCCCTCCCCCTCAATATTGGGGATTAAACCCCAGGCCCTTCACACTGAACTATGTCCTCAGCCTCTTTTTATTTTGAGAGAGAGTCTTCCTGTGTGCCATGAATTTGAGATCTTTCTGGCTCAGCCTCCCAGGTGCTGCAATTACAGGTGTGGGGTACCTTGACCAACTTATTATTCTTCCAAGTTCTACTGTTAGGTTTATTTAAAAGTTCTACCACTGTAGACTCTACTGTTGACTCTCAGATATTTTTCACTGAGACACACAGTAAGAAATACATCTTTTTTTCCAATTTATATTATACATAAACGTGTAGTTTAGATACTTAGCTTGAAAAATAAAATTGAAATAAAAGTTCCATGAAGAATACCAATTCTAGAGGGCAGGGACCTAGAACCATTGCACTGAGCTACAACCCAGCCCATTTTTTAATTTTTGAGACAGTCCTGCTAACTTTAAGTTCCCTGGGCTGGTAGTAGTGACCCTTCTGCCTCAGCCTCCACAGTGCTGGGGTGCTAGGTGTGCCACCACACTCTTCTGCCTGTCTTTCTTGACTGATTTATTTGAAGTGCTGTGGAGGCTGGGGGTGTAGCTCAGTGGCACAAGTGCCTGCTTGGCAAGTGCAAGGTCCTGAGTTTGATTCCCAGTACCAAAAAATAAAAAAATGAAAAAACGAAAAATGAAGTGCTGTGGGCAGAGCTCACAACTGCTGAGGGCTCACTGCCCATGTTGCCAGCCAACAGGCCCTGCCACCCTTGTCCCCGGCTGGAGCCTGGCCACAGTAAGGCTGGCCTGCTGGGCTGTAGCTGTGCTGACCCGTGTCCTTGTCTCGAGCAGCAGGGGAGGTGCCGGGAAGTGCTGTGCTGGTGTTCGACATCGAGCTGCTGGAGCTGGTGGCCGGCCTGCCTGAGGGCTATATGTTCGTGTGGAATGGCGAGGTATCCCCCAATCTCTTTGAGGAGATTGACAAGGATGGCAATGGCGATGTCCTGCTGGAAGAGGTAAGGAATCTGGGTGGAGGGGTGGGGCCTGTGGATGATACACTGTCACTCAGGACCTGGCAGCACGGGGAACAGACCAGGCCTGGGTGGTATTGCTGGACACCCGCCCCATGGCCCTGAGTCCTGCAGCAGGTGTCCGGCCACACATCACCTTGGCCACCTCCCTGGATGTTCTGAAGAAGTCGCACAGAGATGGCAGTGGGTTGCTCATATCACAGCCACCCAGAGCTTGACTATCTCTACTCTCAGTTCAGCCCTGCCGATGATCACTGTGCCCTCCCTCCTGGGGATTCAGCTGCTCCTGGCTCCCTGCTCCTCTTCACAGGAGCACTTCAGCTTCCTTCTCCCTTTGTGTCCCCTCCCTTCCCCTCCCCTCCCCTCTGTTCAGCATCTTATTTTCCCCTTTGTATTGCTCTTCCTTTGCCCATCCCTTCTCCTGCTCCAGTGAAGTTTGGCACGGGACAGGGTGTGATGTATTCTGGGTCCAAATCAGGCTTGTGGTGGTTTCCACTGTGGAAGAAGGCAGAGAAGGGACCCCAGGCTCTAGAGTCCTTGGTCTGTAGGTTTTCCACCTGCATCTTGCCAGTTCCAGGACAGTCCTGTCTGCTGTGGACTCTCACACTTAACCCAGCTTCAGCCCCCTTGGGTGGTTCCCAGTTCTGGCAGAGGCTTTGTGATCCCCACTGCTGGCTCACCTCTGTCCTGTCCCCTCTCTCCCCAGTTCTCAGAGTATATCCATGCCCAGGTGGCAACTGGCAAAGGGAAGCTAGCTCCTGGATTTGACGCCGAGATGATTGTGAAGAATATGTTCACCAACCAGGACCGGAATGGAGACGGGAAGGTTACGGCTGAGGAGTTTAAGCTCAAGGACCAGGAAACCAAGCACGATGAGCTGTAGTGCACAGCTGAGCTGGCTGGTGCCACAGAGCACATGCCACCCACCTCTGTCACGCTACAAGGGTACGAGGGTCTCCAGAAGTGAATGTCAGCGCTAGCAAGCGGGTCTGTGGTGCCTGGTGCACACGTGGGGTGGGTCTGGACCAAATCTGGGTGGGGCCTTGGCCTGGAGGACTGGAAAGGCTACCTTGCCAACCTTTGTCCGTGTGCCTTCCAGGACTCTGTAAGTAACGGGAAATGGCATCATCTTGGAGGAACAGGAGACCAAGTGTCTGGCATCTGCCTACAGAGATTAAAGTGTGTTTTTATGGTCAGTGTCTTAAACATGTTCTCCATGTGGGCAGAAAGGATGAGGGGCACATGGGCCCCAGCGTGATGCCCAACAGTGAGCCTAGGCTCTGCCCTCTCCGCAGCCAGCCCACAGGGCCCCTGCTGTGGCAGTGCTACTCTGGTCTGGAGGCGCTGTGCCACCCAGAGGATAAGGTGGGGAGCAGGGAGTGGATCCTGCAGCTGCTGCTCACATTTCCCTGTGCCCCTCTCACCATCCTGCCCCCTTCTGCACTCTCTTCCAGACGTGGGCACGTGAGGGCTGGTGGCTGGGCCTTGCTGAGATGGGCTTGTCCCCAAAGCTGCTGAACATACATGGAAGCTCCGTCCTGTCCCTAGTATATGCCCCAGGGCAGATCGGGGGCTGGGGAGCCACCCTGTCATAAAAGTGATGACACACACCTGGCACCCTGTCCCTCATCACACAGTGGTTACTCTGTCCCCAAGGGAAATCAGCACTTACCCTGAAGTATTAAAAGTCTTTTCCTTTTCAACTTATCCATTAATTTAAATTGTTTATCCTGATGTCCCGGGGTAGTTTGTGAAAATGCTATGCGCCTGTTTCACACAATAAATGTCAGAAATTTGGTCTTTTCTGGTATAAAGTACTGTTTTATTGCAAGGCTGCATGGTTGGAAACTCCTTGCTGGAAACTCAGGCCTATGCCACCCTGGTGGGGAGAGCATCAAGGCCCTGTGGTGTAGGGACCTTCACTTGCTGTCCTGGCTGGAAGTCAGGGGTTAGAGGATCCTGTGATATCAGTGTCAGCCACAGAGGCCATGGGAGGCAGTGGGGCTCCAAGCAGAGCCCTCAGGTGGACAAAGCTCCAGAACTGGGTTGGCACCATAGCCAAGGAGGTACCCAGACAAAGGGCCTCAGGGATCCTTGAAGACCAGGCAGAGAAGGGTGGGGTTAGCCCAGGGTAGGAATGACAGCAGCTAACCTGTTGACCATGGTTCTGCCCTGCAGCAGGGACTCCAGGTGAGCCCAGAGATGCCCTGGATGCTGGCACTTCTTGGCTCTGTCACCTCACTCTGTCGCAGATGTTTTCTGTGACAGCTCCTGAGTACTGTGGAGGTTAAGTGACCCTGCTCCTTGAAGGCTGGGCTTGCAGCGGACCCCATGCCCTGTGCTCGCAGCCTTCGTGAGGATAAAACCATATGCTCAGTTTTATTCATCCCTGTTTGGATGTCTTTGTGGGCTGCTTTGGATGGTGGTGGGTTACGGTTTGCAGAACCAGAAGTTTTTCAGGGAAAGGAGAGGGAGGCTTAGAACTCAGGAAAAGAGGCCATCAGGTGCTTCTGTTCTGCTGGAGGCTCAGAGGGCCCAGCTGAGCTGTGGCTTTGTGGGACACAGGACACGCAGGCAGGCAGGCTTTCTGCTGCCACTGCATATCTGCTGTATGTGTGTGTGGCCATGATTTAGGGTCTGGTGGGCTTGCACGATTGGACATGCAAAGGTCAAATTCAGGGTGGAGACCTTGGGCTCCTTGTCTCATCGTTATTGCTGCTGCTTACGGCAGGAGCTTCTGTGACACCCAGCTTCTGCCTGAGACAGCCTGAACTTTGGTCCTAGACACAAAGCGCTGAACTAAGACGTTGCAGGCATCCGTTTTGGTGGTACTGGGGATTGAACTCAGGAGCTTGTGCTTGCCAGGCAAGCGCTTATTCTACTGAGCTATCTCCCCGGCCCCAACACCAATGAACTCGGACCTCTGGTTGTTTACCAATTTTTGCTTTTCAAAATACTTTAAAAAAGACACCATTAGCTGGTCTGAATGCAAGACCTTAGAGCTAAGTGCGGCTCCCTGCCTCATACGTGACTTTATTAGCTGAAGTTTCTAGGAACAAACCACTTCTTTTGCATCCTGTTTCCTTGGTTCTTTTGGGAATCTGGAGACTCTTTATTTAATAACAAACTGATTTTGATTATTTATGGCTAGTTGCAGATGTGATTTACTAGTGTTTGGTTTTGTGTGCTCCTCATTATCGTTAGGCTTTTTGTTTGGTCAGCTTACCCTGGCCACATCTAAATCTCAGGTGCTGCTGTATGTTAGGAAGGTGGTGGGAGGAGGCAGGGCCTATGGGCCCTCTGGTCACTGGGGTGGGTCCATGCCCTGAGCAGACCTGCATAGTCTGTCTCCCACTTGCTGGCCATGTAGTGAGTGGCTTTGCTGTCACATGCGCCCATCATTGTGTCCCCCTTGCCACAGGCCCAAAGCCATGGGGCTGACAGAAGGTCAGACAGAACCATGCTCTACACAGAACCATGATGAAACCTCCCCCTTTGTGAGTTGGTTGTCTCGGGTTTTCTCTGGAGTAATGGAAAACTAACACCATACAGACAACACCAAACTTATACTTTCTGCTGAATTTCTCCTTTGTGCTCCAGGCTGTTTAGTGTCTCTCCTGTAGCTCTCCAGACACTTGTCACTCTGGGTGGCCAGGTGGGACATTCCTACCCCTCCAGAGGACTCCTGCTCTTCTCCTGTCTCCTGACACCCACCTTCTCCTCTTCCAGCTGGTGAATGCAACACAGCTGTCCCCCAGATCTACCCATATTTGCTGGCGTGGTGGCCATACAGCCCCTAATGGGTGTTCCTGTTTCACCCTGCCTGCTGTTCATTCTCCACATGTAGGGTAGGAGCTTTGTGCCATAGGGAGGCCAGAGAACCCAGTGCATGCGATCTGCGCTTCCCTGGGTGGCCCAGCAGCTACCACCCTCACCTCACTCCTTCCCATCCCCCATCATTGTTACCCCACCTCTCAGCTGTATATAAACACTGTGTGACCCCAAGGTCTCTGCTGGAACATCTGTCCTCCACCCACATGGCCACTGCTCCCTCCTTTCAGGGTTCTACTCCAGCATTGTCTCAGAGGAGCTTCCTCTATCCATCATCCCGTTGCCTGGGTTTTCTGTACAGCACATATCTTGTTATCTCCTTTTTCCTTGTCTTCCACTAGCAGTGGATGCTACATGAGAGCAGGAAGCCCAGCCCATTAACTTCTCGAGAAGCTGATGTGACTAGCTCTTTGCTTTGTCCTCACCCCTGCTCCTCAGTGCAGATGAGACACGGAGACTTAGAAGCTTGGTCCAGTCACAGAACACCTTGGCTCCAAGTGGATGCTTCATGTAGTTGGTTTTTTTTGTGATAGTATCTTGCTATGTAATCCAGAATAACCTCCAATACTCAATCTTCCTGCCTCAGCCTTCTGAGTGGCTGTGATTACAGGTGTGTGCCAACACACCCAGTGCCTAGCAGAGGTGACTTTTCTAAGTGTGTATCCCTTATGCCTTGAGTACTTTTTATCTGTCAAACTTTTACTGAAACACCAGATTAACTGTGAAAGTTTGCATAATGCTTGAATTACACGGTGACCATGGAGTGGTTTCAGTATTTGTCATCAAGATTATGTTCATCTTTTCTTTGGTGACTCTCCTTAATGTATGCCTTATAGGCTGCCTAAACTGACCGTCAGCAATCTTCATTTTGGTGTCTATTATGTACACCATGAGATGTAGACTTTTTGTGAAATTGCCCTGGAGAGTTGGTATCACCAATGATTGTTTTTCTCCTTTTTAAGTCAAAATTGTTCTAGCATTTCAAACTACTTTACCTGAGAAGGTAGTACTTAAATCCATGCAGGAGTGGTGGTGCACACCTGTAATCCCAACACTCAGGAGCTGAAGCAGGAAGAGCATGAACCTGAGCCCAGCCTGGGCTACACCATGAGGCCTTAGCTCAATAATCAAAAAAGGATTAGGGCTGCAGCTCAGTTCTATAGCACTTGCCTAGTGGGAACATGAGTTCTAATCTCCAGTACCTCTTCCTGCAATAATAATGGTAAAATTCAACCACTGGATGGCAAATGTGGTAGTTAGTAAACAATAGCAATGTTTATAGGAGCTGCAAAAGGCACTTCTGCTATACTGACTCAACCAGACAAAGGCTAGAGGGGAGGAGTGGAGTTCACTTAAAAAAAAAAAAAAATGTATTTAGTACAGGGTCTCACTACACAGATCAGACTTGCATGATCCTCCTGTTTTCAGCCTCCCAAGCATTGGGATTACAGGTGTGTGCCACCAAGCCCAGTCTCAGTTGCCATCTCAGCATGCCCTGGGGGTGAGGCCCGCACAGCATGCCAGGGATCAAACCTAAGCAGGTGTTTTAATCTGGAGAAGTTCACTTTTATGGACATAACAATATTGAATGGTTGGCCTCTGTTCTAAATTCAGACACATTTGAAATGCATGCAGAGGGAGCATATCCAATCCTCACACTCACTTCATAGATGGGCACATTGGGATACTGTGCAATAACTTATTTTCAGTGCTGATCATCCCAAAAGACCCAATCCTAAACCATCCTGGTTCAAACCTGCTAAACTCGGGATGAACAAAACCAGAAGTCTGATGCCACAGCCTATTTTTCAACAGCTGTAGTAAACTTTAAATTTTTTTAAAAATCATTTATTTATTTGGCACAGGGTCTCACTATGCAGCTTGGACTTGTAGTAATCCTCCTCTCTCAGCCTCCCCAGTGCTGGGATTATAGGCATGCACAACCAGCTGGTTTTGGTGGCCAACACAGTACACCCAGGGTTCCATGGCTGGCACGGCATGCAGCACTGGGGATCAAACCCAGGTCCTTGCGTTTGCCAGGCAGGCGCTTATATCACTGAGCTATCTCCCCAGCCCAGCTGCAGTACACTTCTGACACCAGAACTTGAGTACGAAATTATAAACATCAGTAGCATCACGCGTGAGATGTAACAGGTCACATGCCTGTCGCAGGAGACAGCACAGGGACCTTGGAGATACAGCACTATAGGCACATGCTGCGCTGAGGGCTGAGCCCCGAAGGGACAGAGGTAATCAAAATTTATAAAAAATGCTTAAATTTTAAAAATCTGTCATGTAAGACATTGCTGTGAATCTTCCTCAAAATCTTCCATGATTCAAACACTTGTACCATAGCTTTTGCCACTTTCTGAAGCAGTTCTAGAATTCTTCATGTGTCTTTACAAGGTAAGATAAAAAATATGATGAATACTGCCACTGAGGACCATCCAATAGAAAAAGCCAGGCTCATAAAAACGTGACACTGTGTCCTTGTCCACCTTATGCACCAGATCTGAAATCATGCAATTTTTTGCTTTTCCCTAAAGTCAAAATGACTGTGAAACATCAACATTTTGAATCAATTCAGACATCGTCAGCCACGAAAGTGTAACAAAAGACACAAAAGACTCCCAGAGCTGCATCAAAGTGCCAATTAAAAAAATTAAACATTCACTATACTTGATGATAATTTGGATCCATTCTATTTTTTACTCTTGCTTTTTGAGACAGTTTCACACTGTAGCAGGCTGGCCTTCAGCTCGCTGTGTAGTCTAAGCTGGTCTTAAATTCATAGCGATCGGGCTGGGGAGATGGCTCAGTAGAATAAGTGCATGCCTGGCAAGCACAAGGGCCTGAGTTCAATCCCCAGTTCCGAGAAAAAAAAAAAAAAAAAAGATCTTTAAATTCATGGCGATCTTCCTGCTGCCAGAGTGGCATTAGTGGGGCATGCACCAGCATGCCCAGCTGCTCGTGCATATATTGTCTCATTGTTTATTGTAAAAGGAACGAATGGCAGAGACTAACAATGGGTGCTGTAGGCCATGTGACTTTTCCTTTCTGTCACTTTGTCACTCTCCTGGGCCAGAAGCCCCATCCACAGCCAAAGTTCAGAGCCATCTGCTCCAGCTGTGTGGACTTCAGTTCGGAGGTCACAAGGAACCAGCAGGCTGCTGTGGGATGGGGAGGACCTGGAGAGGGAGTCGGAGGGCTGCAGGTGAGTCTCCTGCGTGAGGGTCTGCGCTGCTCAGCTTGTTTGTGATGTTTTGAGAATAAAGCACTTACTTTCCTCCATATTTTCAACTGGGGAAATAATTTTCATAAGCCTTGGTATGTTCTGAAGGGCAGAATAAACCTCTCCCACAAGTATCTTTTTATGCTTGAATTTATAAACATAAGAGCCACTATGACAAGGATGTTATAATTCACATGTACAAAATGAAAGAGCGAGAGGAACAAACAACAGGTAGGGTAGTAAATACAGTACTTGTTGAACAGTCTTTTTTGGTGTGTGTGGGGGCACTGAGCCAGAGTCCCCTGTGGAGACCAGCCTTGCCTGGTGCGTGCAAGGCTCCTGTCTGCCTCAGGCTCCCATGCACTGAGATTACAGGCATATGCCATGCCCGGCCTAAATAAGTCTTGACAGCAGAATTAACAAAGTTTTCATTTCATGTTTATTATCAGTGCTTCAACAGAACATTTTGTAGATTAGCAAGTGACATGTGGATACCAACAGTTTTTGCCAAGCTTCTGGTGAACAGTGATTTTGCTCAGACTGAATAACCAAATTTAATACAATGTTGGGAGATGGTGGAAACACTGGCACAATCCACCCAAATTACAAAATGACAATACTTAAAATCATGCACATTATTTCACCATTTCATAAAACACTTTAAATTCTACAAACTTTCTTGTTACAAAAAAAAAAAAAAAACCCTCAAAAATTGCATGATACCATGGAACTACAAAATTTACCTTGGAAAAGTAGGAAGTTACTTTTCCAATTCTGGCTGTAAAATTTCTTTCTTCCTTTTTCTTTTTAAGTTGGTTAAAAAACATGGTAAGGAGTGTGTTGAGAGGTGGGAGCGGAGTTACCAGTTGAGGGATGCACCGTGTCCGACTGAACACTTCAGCTGCACAAAGGGAGGACTTCACCACCAAGAATGCATCATAAATAAAGTCTTCTGCAGAAAGGGAGTTGAGCAGTCCAGGAGCGAGGCGCTGCTACAGACACCTGCTACAGAATCTTCTGTAGAATGGAATTGGCCACTTCCAATGACTCATCTTTTACTAAGACAATATCATAAGCGTCCATGTACTTTTCTAATAGCTCATCTACCTAATGAACAAAGTAACACAATAAAAATTAACATGCAGAGGGGAGAAGCAAGCCATTTCAATATTAACCCCCCTGTTATATTAGATCTGTTGAGCAGTCAAGTCATTTCAATTTCATAAAGCTTCTGAAATGAGAACCTTTAAACTATAACTCATTGCCAAGAATTTTTCCACATGGTAGCTTTTTCCCTAAGTGATTTCTCTCCAGTCCAGAGGTGATTCTGTCCTGAGAACTTCTGCAGTCTAGAGACTTTTCTGACTCTCATGGCCCCAGGGAGGGGCAGCCAGCAGGTGGTGCCACTTGCACAATGTCCACCCTCCTCACCCACACGTGCAGCATGGACCTGTGCTTCTCAGTGTCTCTCGGATCAGCATCAAAGCACAGTGTAAAAGCTCTTATGTGCCTATAGGGCAATTACCTATAAAGTTTCTTTTTCTTTTCTTTCTTAAAAGAAAATTTCAGACTTATGTACTTACCCGATCATTTAGATAGCCAATTTTCAGAATATGTTCAACATTGGCCACCCCATCTGCCATTCGCAAGTCTCCTTGGGAGTCTCCCAGCAGAATTATGTTGCTGTTGTCTTTTAGTTGACTGAAATAGTCTGTATTCTTCAAGGCACCATCATGTTTGTTGAATACATGAATTAGTTCTCCCTTAAATCCTATGAGCACCCCCTGTTAAAAATAGAAATGCTCTAAAGTAAGAGATCTTTTTTTTTTTTAACATTTTATTTTTTTTTTCTTATTTTTATTTACGAGAGAGAGAGAGAGAGAGAGAGAGAGAGAGAGAGAGTGGTGTGTGTGTGTGTGTGTGTGTGTGTGGCCAGCTCAGCCCACCAGGGGGCGGGGCTGGCTGGCATGTGGTGCTGGGGGATCGAACCGCAGTCCCTGATGCCTTGCCAAGCTTGTTCCAAGTAGGTGCTTTAGACCACTGAGCCATCTCTCCAGCCCCTCTAAAGTAAGAGATCTTTTAAACAACATTTGTTAGACTTTGCTGTTTTACAGTTCTTACTAGGTTCCACTATTATTTTATCAAAAGAAATTTACAGCCAGGCTTGGTGGTGCAAGCTGTAACCTCAGCACTTGGAAGGCTGAAGCAGGAGGATCGTTGCAAGTTTGAGGCCAGCCTGGGCTATACAGTGAGTTTAAAGACAACCTGTACTATACAGTGAGACCTTGTCTTAAAACAAAACAAAGCACTTAAATCTAAGTTGATCACATTCACAGGAGGTAGCAAGGGCTTCAGAAGTAACTTACTAACTAGTGACTATTTTAAATGGAAAAATTCAATGAACTGAGGATACAACTTTCATTTTTCACTTTGTTCTTAATCAAAGTATTTCATTTTATGAATTTTATAATATAGCATCTCTTGTTGAAACATGGTCTCACTCACTAGCCCTGGTGGCCTTGGACTCTCGATCCTCCTGCCCCAGCCTCCCAAGTGCAAGGGTTACAGGTTTAAATCATCACACCACGCTAAAATGCTGTCTTAACGAGGGAAACTTGTTTAAATAATGTCAGTTCTAACTCACTTTTTTTTCAACCAATGCATGTTAAATCTTCAGAACTTCCGCATTAAATTACATTAATAGAAGTCTTATAAACTGCAATTAGTCTATAACTTTGTGTACCAAAGTTTAAGAAGGTGCATTATCTTAAAAATACCATAGGTGCAGTAATATGAGAGATGAAGATGACAAGTCTACCAACCTGGCTTCTTTAATGAACATATTTCAAACAATAAATAAATTTACAAGATTAAAATATTTTCAGATTTTACAAATAACTGAACACTGAGTGGTGTGCATGCCTGCAATTCCAGATACTTAAGAGGCTGAAGCAGCAGTGTCACCAGTTCAAAGTTAGCCTGGGCAACCCAGGAAGACAAACCCAGCAAGATGCTCAAAAACTTGGAGATGTGGCTCAGTGCAAGGGCCTGGAATCAATTCCTGAGCTACGAGGGGGAAAAAATGCAATTGAGGAATGACCTGATATTCTTACATTTTCATCAAAATCCATGAAGTTGGAGACGACTTTGACATTTGGATGATAAACTCCAGCTTGACGAATAACTTCCTCTAGAACATCACCGATACCAGCCGAAAATATAAACACAGGGATACTGTGCTGTTGGAGTTTATCAAAGAAATTCTCGTACCCTTCCCTGTAAGTTAGAGAGACAACGTAATTGTTAAACAGTAACAGTTTATATCCTTTTCACTTAGAAGCTGAAAAGCAAAATGTTTCTACTGAATTCTATGGCTCACATATGTCCTCATTTCAAAATACTGCGTAGGAGGGCAGTTGCTAATACAGTTTTAAGTGAACTGTCACTTTAAAAACTTGTACTGTTAAGGGCATGGGTGTCAGTAACTGCCCTTCTGCCTTCTCTGTAATTAACTATAATAGCACTAACTAGACGTCTGCAGACTCATCCTGGCTATGCAAGCCTGTTAGTTCCAGTTTATATCATTCAAAGCAAGTGGTCAGCCACTTTGGGTGTGCTGGAAACCCCTGCCTGATGGCCAGCTGGCTGCTGTCCACTCCAAAAGAGCAAAGCAGCACGACTTTGCTGTATTCTCTTCACTTCTGGCCACTCTCTTCCCCCCATTTTTTTTTTAAAGAGCCAATTTATTTTATTTTATTTTTATTTTTTATTTTTTTTGGTGGAACCAGGGATTGAACCCTCCCCCAAATTTTAAGATATTTTTTTCTTTTAAATGAGGCTGTCACTATATATGAATAAAATACTCAAAGTATTGTTTCTGAAAGGTTTTTTTTCTTTTCTCTTTAGAAGTAAGTACCTTAAAAAATAGCATCCAAATGTCAGGCAGGTAGGCTAGGGTGTAGCTTAGTGGCAGAGAGCTACAAGGGAAGCCTCTGACTTTAATGCCCAGCACCATGAAAAAGATTAGCATCCCTGCAGTTCTTTAATAACAAGTTGATAATTTTATGATGTGGAAAATAGTACTGAAAACAAAAGCTTCTAATACATTTCATGCATTGCAAATATTTGTGTACCTTTCCCAGAAAGTTTTCAAAGAAGTCTGAGAATTCAGTAGATTCACAAATTTATAAACAATACATAAATTTATATCCTTTTTAACTTGATCTGTAAACATTCCTTTCATAATTAGTTCTTTTGAAAGTATTTTGCTAAAGAATTTCAAAATGGTCTTGGTTGGATAAATTTGTAAGTTAGTCTTGAATTTTTTAATCTGGAGAAAGGAAATACAAATTAGTACTTAACGCTTCTAAGGCTCTGGTCATCAACACTGAATCTCACACATCATCACTCTTCATTTTGCAACAGATGGCATATAGTGAATATTTTAATGGAACTTTATTTTAGTAAAAACATAGTGAGTAGATTTTTCATAGTGCACTTCTGTTGACAACAACAAAAGTACCCAAGAGACTTACTTGAGCATCACGTCAGATTCTGCCACAATTTCCTTGAGTTTAGCTTTTGGTATACGCTGCTCAACGAGCAAACCATGTGACCTTGTGTACCTGGAATTTTGACCAAAGAGGGAAAAATACATTAAGACACTTGTCTTTATCACATAGTGTTCAGTGACTTCTGTTCCTCATGAATGCCTATCCCAAATGTATCTCAAAATGTGATACGCTATTTATTTATTTATTTTTGGTAGCACTGGGGATTGAACCCAGGGTGTTTGACTGAACAGCGTCCCGAGCCGTTTTTAGTTTGAGGTAGGATCTCATTAAATTACCCAGGCTGGGCTGCAACTTGCAGTCCTTCTGCCTCGGCCTTCCAGGGCGCTCAGGTTATAGCTGCGCACCTCCTGCATGGCCTCGTGTGCATATTTTTACAGCATTTTATGGTTCTCCCAAACCCAGCCTTAGCTTAGTTAATATGGTAATAGAAGGACACAGAATGTAAGCCTTTGCTTAGTCTAAGAACTCAATTCACTGAGGCAGTGCAATAACTTCTGACTGCACAGGGTCTTTTTTTCATTTGTTTGCAGATTAAATTTTCCTGAAAAGTATCAAGATGCTTCCTAGTGAGCAAGAGTCCTTGGTGTGTACGGATGAGGCTGCTTTGTAATTATGTAAGAACACCTACAATTACAGCATCCTAGCATGAGGGCCTCTAGAATGTCTCTCTTACCCCTCCCCAGAGAGCCCAAACTACCCCTCAGTACTTCCAGCCGATCTTCCTCTCAGCCTGAGAGCTTCCTATCAGCCAGTGAGCTCATTCTCCAAGGAGGCTTCTTTCACTGCTAGACAATCCTAACTCTCAGACAGTCCTTTCTTTTATTAAGGAGAAACCATTCTTAACCTTTTCAAATCTAGTTCCAGTTTTTTTGGGGGGTGGGTGGGGGAGTGTGACAAGGGCTCATTATTATAGCCTAGGCTGGCTTTGAACCTGCAGCAATTCCCTGCCTCAGCATCTCCAGTGCTGGGGTCATAGGTGTGTGCTGCAACTCCCAGGTCCAGTTCCACCTCTAGAAGAGCATAAGAAAGTCTCTTTTTAAATTTAAAATCATAAGGATGATGAAGACAAATACTTCCAGTCTCTTCAGATTTTAAAGCTGTAGTCAGGCTGGGTGTGGTAGTGCATACCTGTAATCTCAACAAGCGGGAGGCTGAAACAGGAGGGTTGCTTTGAGTTTGAGGTTAGCCTGGGCTAGAAAGGGAGTTTAAGGCCAGCCTCAAATGCATAGCAAAAACTTGTCCCCAAAAGACACACACACACACACACACACACCCCAGCTGCTTCTCAAAGCAAGGCACCTTTTTGGGTTTTTTTTTTGGCTACTCATGCTGCCTTAAGGGCAGGTCTGCTGTAGCTTCTGGAGCTGGGAATCGAACCGAGGTCCTATGTGCCTGATTGCATTAGCACAAGAGGCGCTTTAAACAACTGAGCTATCTGGCACCCTCCCCCCTACACATACAAGGTATTTTTTTTGTAAACATAGAACTGAGGATCTCACCTGGAATCTGAAACATCTAGGCAAGTGGTCTGCCACTAACCTATATGTCCTTGCCTCACTCAAACCACATTTTACTCCATGAAATGCTCTTAAAATGAGATGGCTCAGGTGGATGGCTCTAGTTCTGTTAGTCAGAGTCTGTGATGGTAGTTTTCTCCTAGAGCCCAACACCACACTCAAACTGGGACTTGCTGGGAAGGCTGCACTATGATGAACGCAACATACATTAAAGGTCTCAGCAGCCGGGACAAACTGAATTCAGAGTCAATTATAACCCTAATTTTTTTTTTTTTTTTTTTGTACATTAAACCACATCTTACCCATATTTAAAAAGGTCAAGTTTGTCTTTTGTTTAGGGGCAAGGTCTCACTATGCAATTCAGACTGGCTAACTTAGCAGCCCAGGATGGTCTCAAACTTGCAGCGATCTTCCTGCCTCAGCCTCCCAAGGGCTGGGATACAGGTGTGTACCATCGTGCAAGGCTAACAGCTGCACTTGCTTTTCAGGTCCCAGCACTTACCATTCTACCATATAAGGGAACTTCTCCTCCACAGTAAGCACAGGGTCCACTTCAATAGCATAATACTGTTCCTTCAGCTGCAGTAGCTAGAGAGAAACAGGACTTCATCATGAAGGTTACAATCTTGTTACTAATCTGCTTTGTTTTATAGAAAGCAAAATAATATAAACATGTTTTCTATGAAGTGCTTTCTAAGTGAAGAATAAATTGGGTGGTGCACCACTTAAATCTACTAAGAACTATTCATCAGACTACCATTCAAAACAACTTTAGTTCTCACATGAAAGTATTAAAATTGATTCACCCTATGGCTCTTATTAGGTTTAAACAGAGACACTCCATCAAAATACTCTAATGATTTCCTGATCAAAGGGGAGCAAAATAAATAAATAAATGAATGTACTTTTGTTTTAATTTTCATGTAATATGTTAAAACATTTTACTAATCATTCAAGTTTTAAATCTAAGGTTTGCTGGTGTTAGGTCCCCCAAGGCCTCATGTGCTCTCAGTGGGCTTTTGGGAAGAGACTGGGCAGTGGGTGTGTCATACTGCCTTAGTTCTCTGATGTGTTTATAGCCGGATGTGACACTGGGAGGTGAAGTCTGGTGGGAGAGCTGGAGCACTGGGCGCCTTGCCCAGAAGGCAGTGTACGTCTATTCCTCCTCCCTGGAGGCTCTGCTGCCTGTCACTGTGCCACCCTGTTTTGGGAGCCAGCCAACAGACTGAAACCACCTTTCCTCTGTTAGCCTGTGGTGTCAGGTACTTTGTCCAGCAACAAGAAAGTAACTAAGATAGTTGGTTTGAAAAGTACTGTTAATTTTTCCTTAAAAATCCAGTAAAGATGAATAGCAAGGCATGGTGGTATATAATCCTAGCTACTCTTAAGGCTGAAGTAGGAGAAAAGTAAATTTCAGCCAGCCTGAGCAACTTACTGAGACCCTGTCTCAAAATAACAACAGGACTGAGGAGATGGCTCAGTAGTAGGGCACGCGCACCTAGGCATATAAAGGCCTGGGTTCAATTCCCAGTACCATACAGTAAAACAAAATATAGCATTTTGTTTTGTGTGAACAAACCTGATGCAATTCTCAGGCAACAGAGACTGACTGTGTTCCTGGTAGTGCTTACCTTTTTTCGACATTCATCTGTAACCAGCTTACAGTTATCAATGACATCTAGTGAGAAAGCAAAGAGGCATTAAAAGAAAATACTGTGATCGATGCCACCACCATCAGGAATATCTGGGTACTTTTCATTTTATATGCCACGTCAACAACCTCAGTTATTAAAGCTTTTGGTCTCCACTTGGACAGAGCGGCACATGCCTGTAATCCCAGCACTTAGGGGGCTGAGAAAGGAGGATCTCTGCAGGCTGGAGGCCAGTGTGGGCTACCCAGTGAGTTTAAGCCCAGCCTAAACTGCACAGTGAGACCTTGTCTCACAAACGAACCAACCAAAAGCAAACACACACCAAACCAAACCAGTGAAAAAAAATCAAACCCCAAAACGAAAGCCGAACATCTTTTGATCTCAATGGTTTCATTCACCTAGCACTGCTGTGGAAGCTAAGAGTTTTAAAATCTGAGATTTTGAGAATCCTTACACGCATCATTGATCCAAACAATTAAAGGTCTTCAAACACTGCTAGGTTCACCTTCCTTTTTTAATTAAATTAAAGCAAGAAATGTACCAAAGCAGGAGACAGGGCCTGGCAGAACTGGCTGGGGGGCTGGGGATACAGCTCAGCAGTATAAGTGCCTGCCTGGCAAGCACAAGGGTCCAGTGTTCAGACCCCAGTGCAGGGGGAAAAAAAAAAGATTTAAGGCTGGCGAGATAGCTCAGCAGACTACGTGCCTGCTTAGGCAAGCGCAGGGATCGGGCAGCACCAAATCTGGGTATGGTGGCACATGCCTGTAATCCCAGTGCTAGGGAGGCTGCAAACGGGAGGATCTCCACGAGTCTGAGCTGTGCAGTAAGACCCTGTACCAAATACATGTTACAACAAAACAAAACAAAACAAAACAAAACAAAACAAAACAAAACAAAACAAAACACTGGCTGGGGAAGTAGGAATGACCTATTAATCACACAGTCCCAGGACACATGCAGAACAGCTCCACAGCCCCATGCAGACTTCTCAAAGAGCAGTTTTTCCATAGGATGACCCAGGCCTGACATTAGCCTGTGTCCTCTCACAGTGGCCTGCCCTCATCTTGGAGAGTACTTTTTCCTAACTTTCACTTGCTCCAAACTCATTCTGCAAAGTCTGTTTCTTTTCCTACCTTTAATAAAGGTAAAAACTTCACCAGTTTATGCTTGTTTTGACCAACTCTTTGTTCAGAACCAAAACCACTGTTATACCCTGTCAAAACTGACTCCATTTTATTGCCCTTCTAACCTCGTGGTGTTCTTGTTCTGTATGCACCTACCCCTCCCAACTCCTCACCCCTGTGACTCAAGTCTTATATCTGTTCCCCAAACTTTATCTCAATGAACTCTATGTGACTGCCAACTCAGCACCCCCACCCAACAGGACCACCCCATGAACTAATGACCCGCTGTACCCCATGATTGATTTCAGCACCCCACCCAATGGGACCACCTAATGAACTAATGCCCCTGCCACTTCTTCCTCTCCACCTCTTCCCTGTTTTTGCGGTTTTCAAGCTTAAATACTGACCCCTTGTCAATGCTCAGCGCGCCTCTTTGCACCCTGCATAGAGACCGCCGCTGGGTACCAGCTAAAATAAAGCGCTTCTTTTAACTTTTGGACTTGCCTCGTTGTCATCTGATTTTTGAGCTACAACAACCACCTCTGGGAGACTGTAGCATCATAAAACCTGGTAACGGTATCTTTGAAGTACATTATTTCTTTTGAGGTGTGTGGTGGGACTAGTACTGGGGACTGAATCCTGGGCCTTTGCACTGACTACATTCCCCAGTCTTTTTCATTGCATTTTTACTTATTGTTTCCCTTTTTTGAGACGTGGGTCTCAGTATGTAGTTCAGGCTGCCTTTGAACTATTTATCCCAGGCTGGCCTTGAATTGCCAATAATCCCGAGGGCTGGAATTATATACATGTGCCACTACACTGGGTTTTTACTTGTATTACAGGATATTATTATCCTGTAATAAGTTAATTTAAGCCTCACTAAGTTAATTTAAGTCGCTCATGCTGGCCTTGAACTCCTGATGATCCACCTTCCTGCCTCACTCAGCTTCCCAGTGTACTGAGACTAGTCATGTGTAATGCCTAGCTCCACATCTTTCCTTCTTTTTAAAATTTTAAATTAAATAAAATCATTAAATTAATTTTTAATTAAATTACTGAGGATTGAACCCAAGACCTTCATAAGGAGTCACATTACAAATTTTTCAAATTATTTGTAATTTTTAGATACAAACTAAGCCACTGAGTTGGCCAGACTGAGGTCAAACTTGGGATTCTCCTGCCTCAACTTCCCAGAATACTATGATTAAAGTACAGTGTATGTCACTCTGATAAAGCAATAAACAATGTGAAAATACAGAAAACAGGCTTCTACAAAAGAGAAGAAAACCCGCACAATTTTACTGTTCAAAAATAAATTACCAAGGCTGGGAATATAGCTCAGTAGTATAGCACCTGCCTCACAAGTACAAGGTCTTAAGTAAATAAATTACTAATATGTAGATTTCCTTTCAGTATTTATTTTTATTTTTTTGTACTGGGAATTGAACTCAGACCTTGCACTTGTCCAGCAGGAGCTGTACCACTGAGCTATATCCCCAGGCCCCTTTTTAATCTTAAAGTGTTGTGCATTATCCATTAGAAAAGGGACCAAACCAAATCTGTAATTTTAAACTATTTATTTCATATTGCAGTTCATACTTTTCATGAATTAAAAACCATGCTAGCATGTATTTGGCCCTGAATTAATTCCCAGTATTACAAACAAAATGAAAAGCTCCATAGCTATCACCCATTCACAATGGTTACAGCTGCTGCTCTGTGGGTAGAACAGAATTTATACCACTGCTACTGTGTGAAGTGTTTTAGAATTTTTTTTACACATATACTAGCAGTAAGCAAGAAGACATATCATGGTTTCCTTGTGGGGTTAAATATTATTAAAAATGTCACTACCAACTTGGAAAATAAATACAGAAATATTAAAGTAGCAATACAGCCAGCTGTGGTGACATATACCTGTAATCCAGGCATCTTGGGAGACTGAGGCAGAAGGACCACAAGTGTGAGTCTAACATGGGCAGCTTAGTGGGATGCTGTCTCAAAAAGAAAAACAGAAAGGGATGGGGGACATGGCTTTGTGGTACACTGTGCCTGGGTTTGATTACCAACTGTAAGAAAATCTAGCAACACAATTTAAATTGTAGTTTATTTAATAGCTTCTTTTTAATAAGTGATAAAACTCCTAGAAAACTCTATGCGTGCATTTTTGACCTGGGGATTGAATATAGGGCCTTCTGCATGCTATGCGTGAGCTCTGCCACTGAGCTAAATCCTCAGCCAAGAGTATTTGGCAAATGCTTTTTCTTTACATTAATGCAGTTTAAAACCAGTTTGAAGCTGGGCGTGGGGATACACACCTACAATCCCAGCACTGAGGAAGCTGAGGCAGGACTGCCATGAATTCAAGGTCAGCCTGAGGTACAAAATGAGATTCTGTTTAGAAAAAAAAAAGCAAAACCAAACAACAGAACTAATTTAAATAATTCTTAAATACTCAGCACTCGAGAGGCTGAGGCAGGAGAATCACTGCGAGTTCTAGACCATCCTGGACTATGAAGCGAGCTGAGGGCCAGCCTGAACTGCACAGTGACAGCCTATCTCAAAAAGATCAAACCATAACAACAACACCTTGAATAATGTGTGAAATATTTTGAAGTCTCTCTTTGCTATCAAAACTATATATGAAAATAGTCTTTTATATAAGCACAGGAAAAACAATCTTCAAAATATAGTTACAAAAAGTGAGTTCTCCTCACTTCTGACAACCAAAAGGAATTTTAAAATCCCTAATAGGCAAAATGGATCTTAAAATACTTAAGTACTTATCATTACTTTAAAGTACTTTTTAAAGAGCATCAGACTTACTATGACATGTGGGGCATCTTTTCCCTTTGTAGGAAAATCTACTTAGTGTCATATCAAAGTCAGTGATGATCTGTAAGAAAGAGAAAGGCATTACGTACCACAGATTCCAGGCCGACATTTCTGTGGCTCCCAAACACAGGGTACTGCGTCCTAGAGGCTCAGGCCAGGTGTGGCCTCAGTCCCACTCCAGGACACCAGTTCATCCTGAGTCTTTGGCTGCTGTCCACACACAGTCTGGGGAGTGCCCTTAACTACAGGTGCTCTCTTAATTACTCATCTTTGTCACCAAATACGTTACATCTCTTTATTTTTTTATTTATTTATTTTTTTATTATTATTTTTTTTTTTTTTGCAGAACTGGGGATTGAACTCAGGCCCTTCTACTGAGTTATCTCCCCATCTTTTGTCACCAAATAAAATCTGAATATCAGTGTAGGAATTTTTAACAGTTGGTGACCTTGTTATCCTTTTTTCTAGAGATAAAACACTATGAAAACTTTGGCCAATGTAGTCAATGTACAAAAATGCACTGGATGAAATAAAACGATATGAAGTTCTTAGTTATGCTTTACATATGAGATTTAACTTGCTTATTTAAGGGAAATACTAATGAACACATGAAAATAGTTTACTAGCTCTTAAAACTTAAAGAGACGGAGCTAATTTTTTTTTTTTTCTTCAGTAGTAGGGATTCAAACAAGGGCCTTCACAATGATGTACATCCCCAGCTTCCTGCCAGCCTGCTTGTCCATCTATCCACCCACCCACCCACCTACCCACCCACCCATGCATCCACCTACTCACCCACTAACCCACCCACTGATCCATTTTGAGCCAAGGACTGTCATTAAGTTGGCCAGGCTGGGCTCAAACTTACAATCCTCCAGCCTCTGTCTTCTGCAGTGTACCATCACATTTACAGATGTGTTAAAAACATGCGTTGCTCAATATTCATACTGTCAGTATAATTTACATTTAAAATGCTTCTTTAAAAAAAGAATTAAGAGGGCTGGCACGATAGCTCAGTGGACTAAAGTGCCTGCTGAGGCAGAGCGCAGTGGCTGGGGTTTGATCCCCAGCATGCCATGCTGGCCCCACTCAAGGGGTGCACTGAGAAGGGGATTGAGACTGGATGTGGTGGCACATGCCTATAATCCCAGCACTTGGGAGGCTGAAAACAGGAGAATCACTAGGTGTCCAATTTATACAGTGAGACCCTGTAGACCCTGTCCTAAATACAGAAAAAAAAAATTAGAAAATACAAGTATTTCCTAATGAAGTTTATATTTTAACAGTGGCAGTTAAAATATGGAAGATCAACTTAAAATTATATTTTTAATTCTTATTCTTAAAATGGTTAAATACTTGTGCATGACATTAGCTAATAATAAAGAAAAGCTGGGAACTGGGGTGTAGCCCAGTAGTAGAGGGGTTATTCAGAATACACAAGAACCTGGATTCAACCTTCAGCACCAAACCCAACAAATTTGTGTTTGCATTTCTAACACAAATGTATTGTGTATTTTAAGCTAACCTTAGGTAAGTATTTTAGATTTTAGATTTTTTTTTTTTTTACAGGCAAAAACTGCCTACTTAAATTTGCTTATTAAGATTATCTCAATAGGAGATGACAGGTCTGCCTGAACATTAAGAATAAAACCTTCCTAATGTTGGCTTCTTGATAATTAGTCACCTGAAGTTTGGCAGCTCCTCCTTTGATAAGACCACAGATAATTTCTTCTACTCTTGTGGGGTTCTTGATGCGAACTGAACTTTTCTGGAATTCTGGCATCTAAAAGGCAAAAAAAAAAAAAAAAAAAAATTACTTTTAATTATTCTTTCTCCAGGTTATTTTAATACCAAGCAGAAGGTATCTTGCTTGAGTGGACAGAAGGTTGAGGTACTACTTGAAAATCCAAGTCCCCAAATCAATCCATTCATACACGAGACAGCACATCAGTAGCTTCTACCTAGACGACAAGACACACAACCATGTTGTAGAAGCTGGAAACAGCTGTGCAAGTGTGCTTGCTTACCATCTGCGAGGCTCTGTAAGGAGCCCCACACGTGTAAAAATAAAAGTGTCCAGAAAAGGACAGTAATTTACTTCCTTAGAAAATATATTTTTTCAGGATAGACCAATAGTTTACACTTGTTACTAAAATTACAGAAAATATATAAAAATGAAAATAAAATTGCCTACTTTTTCTATTTGAAAATAAATATTTTCGCTTGTTTCCTATTAGCTTTATAAATATGCAGTTTTATTTTATTTTCATTATATATTATAAAAATGCATTTAAACTGGGTGTGGTGGCATTTACCTTCAATCCCAGCACTCTGGGAGGCTAAGGCTGGAGGATTCCCGAGTTCATGTCCAGACTGGGCAACTTCATGAGACTGTCTCACAAAGTGGTCTGGAGACATAGCTCAGTGCAAGGGCACTGGGTACAAGCTCTACTAACACCGCCCCCCTGCTCAACTGTTTAACAATCCATTAGTCAAAACAGGATCCTAGAACTGAAGAAAGAATACGTGAACTCTGTGGTAAGAGTTATTTCTTCTAAGAATCTTGCTTACAATTTCGTTTTCCAACTGTCCTTTGTGGCACATGCCTACAGTTCCAGAAGTTGGAGAAGCTGAGACAGGAGTATGGCAACCTCAAGCCCAGCCCAGGCAATTCAGCAATTTAGTTAGACCCTGTCTGAAAACAAAAATTGGGCTCAATGCAAGGCCCTGGGTTCAATCCCCAGTACCAGGCATGCATATGTGTAAAAGATTCAGTTAGTTTGTAATTGGGATATAGGCCTTGTATTTGGAGTCCCAAATACTGGGAAGGCTGAGGCAGAGCCCGAGAGCTTGAAGGAAGCCTAGGCAACATAGCAACCCCTGATCCCATAAATATTTTAACTAACATAGTTCAAAAAATAAAGTATATGATAGGATTCTAGAAGTTACAGGCAACTACTACACTATATTATAGGACTTGAGCATTTAAGAAAAAGATAATTTATGTTAATATTTAGGTTTATAAATATTTCTGAGCAGAGAGAAAATATACAATGATTCCCCATATTTTACACAGATCACTTAAAAATACTTGAAATATTTTAAAATGTAAAAAGCTGCTTTAAGATCGTTGTTCCTTTATATTGTACTATATCTTAAATTATTTATTAACTGTTCTTGCCATAAATTTTACAAGACTTATTTTGAGTTGAGATAACTACCAAAATGTATTGGCTGGCTTGGAATCAGGATGCTGCTGTGGTGTTACAGCCCCTCAGAGCTGTTCCACGACCTCACGAGAAGAATGGCTTTTTGTTTCCGCCCTGTTTTGAGCAGCATGAATCAACACAGGAGTGACAAGCAGCACAGGGCTGTCCCAGCAGGTGGATTTATATCCTTTTATTTTGGGTTTGATAGTGCCAACATTAACATATTTCATGTGTGCTGGACATAAAAATTCTCTAGACTTGTCTCTGCCGTAAGAGAATCAGACCAGGGAAGTCTCAGATCCCACGTTGTTCCCATACATGGCCCAAAGCAGAAAAGTAAGAGAAGAACAAAGTTTGCTGAAGCCTGGCAGATGGCAACGAGGTGTAAAGGAAGAGGTGCCTACATTAAGATCTCCTTTAGGAATGGGAGAGCCAGACAGACCATACACTTATGTTTTGGACCCACAGCTAAACAGCAGCAGGATCACTTGCAGTGGGTCAGCTTTCATTCAGGGAATCTATGAACTAACACCTTCAAGAGTTTCAACAGAGTAAAGGTCTCGAAAAGATTAAAGGTTATCTAAACATCGATTACTGACTGGCTGGCTCCCTGATCACAGTAGTGGGCACTGAGCCCCAGGGCTTGGCACACATGAGGCAAGTTCATCTCTTGATGACTAAAACCTGCTGTTCATTTCACCTGAACTGCAGACACCCAGGCATCCTATACTTGATTCAGTAACTGATCAATGGGTTAATGTCAGGAAACGTGTTTCCACCAGAACACTGACACTTCCTGCAGGTGTCTGATGTTCTACACAAAGTAAGATGCCTCATTCAAGCAGGCCACATGCTCCAGCTCCAGCTGACAGACAGGAAGAAACACCAGGAGCTCCAACCCTCTCATCTAGTGCCTGCTGCTCCTCCCTAACACTCCATGATGGCTTTATTAGAAGATACCTTTGTCTTTTTATAAACAGTAATACAAATTTTAGCATTACATTTATTTTGGGGCCGGGGAGATGGCTCAGTGGAGTAAGTGCTTCCCTGGCAAGCGCAAGGGCCTGAGTTCAATCCCCGGTTCCGCCAAAAAAAAAAAAAAAAAAGTATTTTTCATTGTATTATAATCAAATTGAGAACTTCTGGGACAAATCAAAATAATTTGCTATTAAAATTTTTAGGGTAATTTCTGCTACACCAATCACTCATTGTAAGATCAGTTTATTCTGCATTATCACAGGCAAAAGAGAGCCATGGGCTGGAGGCACTCAGAGTGATGTGTCAGGCAACACAAGCCTACTGGCTCCAGATAAAAGACTGTGAGGACCCAAAGCATTGGGGAGAGTAGGTAGGGTGTTGGTACCAAGTGAGATGGCCAGAGAGAAGCAGCTACTTTCTCCAGAGAATCCAATAGGGTGGAAGTCAGCAGAGGAGGGTGGATGGATGGACTGCTTATGGCAGACTGCTCCTCTCTGCTGCAACACAGCACAGTACACTGATGCACTTCTCAGAAATTGAGATATTGGGCATTTTGTGAAATATTCTAGTGTGCAAGCTAAGAAACAGCTCCAAAGCTTGTAATATGGAATACATAGAAGGGTATCACATTAGAGCGTGCTAAAGGAGAATGCTGAAAAAAGTCACATGCTTTACTCCACATCGCTCTCTCCATATCCCTCTTGGACAGAAAAAGACCACTCTGGTGGTACACAGAAAGATACTTCAGAAACAAACAAACAAACAAACAAACACAAAAGCAATTCAAATTACAAGAGCAAGTCATCTTGAATTGTCTGAAAACTTTTCAGTTTGATATTATTATGAAAAATAAGTAAGGGCCTACAAAGTTTCATCATCTGCGGTAAGGCAAAGACTCCTAAAGTTGATTTCAAAATTACAGTATATTACAACCCAATAGCACTGTTCAGATTTTTTGACATCATATCTTACAAACATTAGGACAAGACAAAATGAGTACACAGTATGGTTACAACATTTCTGAGCTCGAGGTTTTTTGATATCATAAATTCAATAATAATGTCTCAGATATTACCCTATTATTCCAATGCCTGTGATAAAATGATAACAATTTTAAAGTTGCTGTTTGTAAATAGTAACTTTAAAATGTTATATCCTATTTATCACAATGCATTGTTAATTTTTTTTATGTATTTGGTACAGGGTCTCAACTATGAAGCTCAAACCCACAGTGATCCTCCTGTTTTCAGCCTCCCCAGTGCTGGGATAACAGGCATTTGCCACCATGCCTGGTCTCAGTGGCCAGCTCAGTGTGTTGGAGATGGGGCCAGCACAGCACATTGTTAATTCTTGTGTTGATTTAAAAAAATATATATATTCAGTACAGGGTCTACAAGGTTGTTTATTTATTTATTTATTTTATTTATTTATTTTTTATTTTTAGTGGAACCAGGAATTGAACTCAGGCCCTTAAGCTTGCCAGGCAAGCACTTATTCTACTGAGCCATCTCCCCGGCCCCTACAAGGTTGTTTATCCTTAAATTAACAATAAAACAGAAAATCAACTAAGGTTTAGTACAGTTCATGACGGACAGATGGTACAATTTGTATTTCAACCAAAGAAAAAGAACTACTCATATTTTCACATATGCTTATCTAAGTAATAAGTTTTTTTCCCTCATAATTTTATTGATAAACAAATAGCAATGAGACAGTTTCAAATCAAACTGGTAGGACAGTTTCAATAATTAACACATTGCATACATTCTTCCTAGTGGTTAATTGCTGTATAAGATGCAGACATGATACCCTATTTACAAACACCATTAGAACAAGTCACTCTATTCATTAAGAGAATGTAACTATATATCTGTCCTAACCACTCTGAATACACAGATACAAAATGGACATTCATCTGTATCCTCTTTTTTTGTTAAGTTCCGTTATTTGAATATTATAGGTATGTAAACTCAGCAAAATATTCTAAAAGAGTCCAGTAGCCCATAATAGTATTGGGTCTTCTGCTTCACTGGTAATGTCAGAAATTGTTGACCTGAGTCCCCTACAGCTCAACATAACAGCATGGTTTTACTTCTTATATTTCATTTTTATACTTTTCTGCTGGATGGTTAAGACCAAGGTAAAGCAGGACCTATGCAACAAGAGTTGTAGCTTTTGGGTCTGATAAGGTCAGTGAAATCCCCTCAGGATTTATCCTGAGATCCTGTACCTCAGATTGTAGAACCTTTGTCAGTGTCAGCCATGTGGATGAGTCACAGCCACTGGTAATAAGTTTTTAATTACCTTAATATTATCCTCTATTTTTCTGGCAATGGCCTACATAAAACTTAGCTTAAATAACTCAAGAATCTCTGAGATAACGCTTAAGGAAATATAATTTATTTCCATTGTTTATATTTGCAACTATTAGACTGCAATTCTGCACTGGCACAAAGGAGTTAGCACTACAATATTTATGTAACTATGTACGTACAAAGTACAAGTTTATCTGAGTGTGGTGGGGCACAGCTGGGATCTGGGAGAGTAAGGCAGGAAGATTTCTGTGAGTTCCAGGCCAGCCTGGTCTACATAGAAA